TGTGTTATGAAAAAAGAATTGAAATGAAAATCCTGTAAAAGAACAGCAGGGACCCTTTTTACAAAAGATTATATATATTTAAAAAACAAAGGGGGGGGGGTCTCCATCCCCGAATCGTTTTCGTTTCGTCAGCTGCTAGTTTCTTCTGCTGTCATTATGGAAAATATTTATTTGTCAAAGAACACATTTTCCCCCAAAAATTTCAGTCTATTCAATTAATAATGATAGTGTTAAAGATTTCATTAGTAAAACCTCAATACACATTGGAGTATCCATATACTTTTACTTAATTCCATTCTGAAGAATTTTTTAAGGCATGACAACCACATGACTAACACAAAGTATTCAAAGATTTAATTCACACAAAAATATATCCCACCTCAGATTATTGATCAGGTGTATACCAAACACTTTCATTTGATCGTTTTCAGTCTTCAAGTATATGGTAAAGTAAATATAAGGGTTTTTTTCATGATCAAGGATAAAATAATTGGCAAGATAAGTAGAAGAAAACTAGTACAGAGATTTTTTAAAAATATGTATTACGTTTGTGTGTACTGAAAATGTGAGGTAAGGAGAGCTAGTTGCTCTTATCCATTTACAGGGCATCGATTTTTGAGGTGATCTTTGATATTCGTTGAAATAAATTGACACGTACCCGTTCTAATATTGTAAGAACAATATTTAGTTCATTCTAATTTTGGTAAATCAGTTCGTCCGTCTGACTGTGTTTCACTTTTCATTTCCCATCACTGTACATTTATAATGGAGCTTCCAGTGAAACGTAAATCACAACGCCTTATATCCTAAAGAAGACGTCTATTTAATGTGAGGTAACAAATAACAGATGATAAATTCATTCATTGCAAATAACAGTAGTTTCCTTTGAACTTTTCTCAATAAAATTTAATATCACATCTTGAATAATGACTACTTTTGATGTTAAAGTAAAAGTTCAAAAGTCTAGATAATTAATTCAAACATTCTGTTCAAGTGTGATATTTTCGTTTTCTTGTGATGTCAAACGAGGTCATGGACCACAACGCTCGCCTAAGTAACTACATGTAGAATCTTTTTCATGAACATATGAAACATATGGAGATACATACGAACAGTAATCAAGATCAAAAGTCAAAAAAACAATACAAAATAGAAGCAGAGCAAACGCGGATCTCCAAAAACCCAGAGGTGGGATCAGATGCCGACCGGTCACACCCACCGTGTATAACGGAAAAAAAATCCGTCGTCAATTCAGAGTATAAATAATGGACTAACAATAAGTATGAAAAACGTCAGTCAGCATTTGACAATGATAAATTGTATTTGCCGACAAGGTCATAGAACTTACGAAATGATAACTTTAAACGAGACTGCTGAAATTCTGGCTTCATCAACTTGTTTGTCAATATTTTACCTCGTTTTAGGAGTTGTACATACGTAGAGCATGCGCTTGCTAATTGAATCAACTGAGATACATAAACTTCGTATGCAGGTGAAGGTATATTGCTGCATAAGTAAGGGAAGTTGACGATAGAAAAGTTAAAGTGATCACGTTTATCATAGACCTTGGTTGTTAGATTACCATTCACGTCTTTTTCAAACAAAATATCCAAATATGAAACACAAGTATCAGACTTGGTATATCTTATATCTCAAGCTCAGCAGGATATACCTTATCGACATAAAAATGACTGTACGTTGTCGATATATCTAAATGTCGAGTTGAAGGCCACAGCAAGTGTTTTTCTTTTCTTTACATGCATAAGATTTTTCACAAATTCTGCCTTATGTGATACAAAAATATGTCTGCTAATAATGGGGCGCAATTCGTACCCATGGGAATTCCAATAGAGTGTCGGAAGACCTGGTCTCTAAAAGCAACAGACATATGTAAATATTGTCAATCGGAAACTCTAGCATCTTAATTTTTTATGTCAACTTCAGAGAACTTGTGTATACAATCAGAATGATTTTAACAAAATAATTTTGCAAATGATCAATGACAAGGTACGTAAATTTACGAGTTCCATTTTTATTGAAAAAGCAGCTGTCAATGATATCGAAAAGATGGGCTTTAATTTATCGTGTGGAATGGTTGTATTGTGTATGAAGTTGAAAAGTCGTAAGTTTTTAAGCTGTTGATTTTGGTAAAATCTTGTGATTTCAAATTGTCCAAAAGTTTCTTAGAATTTTTAAGTATCCACATCTGATTTACACCACTTCTAAAATATATTGTTGCGCTGCACTCTAGAAGTTTTTCCTTCCCTACTGTTAATATCTTAGCGAGGAGTTAAGAAAGAGCCTTGGTTGAACATTTACTAGAAAGCGTTATGTATGTATCTTTGTTTGTAAGGATTATCATGAAGTTTCCGAATCCAATACCGGTATATATATGGTAGGTCAAAATCATTTTGGTTCTTTGGGATATTAAAAATACTAGTATTCAAAGCTGGCATGTGATTTTGAAGAATTTCCTCCTAAGAAAGGGAACTATGAGTATAAGTTGGATTACCACTTTTAGAATTAAATCCAAGTTCTTCTAAAATACAATTTATATAATGAGGCTTACAAACGAAGACAATTCTGTTACCTGCTTTGTCAGCAGAGACCAGTACGTACTGATCATATAATCTATCTTGTTCTTTTTTCACCTCTGCATTATAGAATACAGAAGGAGAGATGGTTTTCATATTGCCCCTCAATCTTTGAATACGCGATTTGATCATGGATCTGATATATTTAATCCATTCTGACAAAGTTTCAACGTCCTCTTTTTCATATTTGGCCCATCACCTGGCGTAATCTTCAACGGAATCCATATATAATATATATGAAATTCCGACGCCAGTTGAAGGATCGGGGTTCCCTATATTTTTTGGACTTTTAAAATAAGTGATCTATGTCCTCATTATTTACTATATTTACGTCACCTGTAATAACGTGTCCAGCGGTACTGTAGTTATAGGATGAAGAATAAGAACATGAACACGATGGAAGATTGTTTTGAAGATACTCGACTTCATGTGCAATGTATACCAGAATTTTGTTCCTATACACACCTTTGATCGCCATTGATAGTCATACCTTATCTCCGAGGCGTCTTGATTTGAATATACTTGAATCTGCCCTACCCGATGATGGTTCCAAACAAATATGACTTATTACAGAATTTCTTTTCCAGAAAAGAAAGTTATAAAATTATCCCCCCCCCCCGTAATCGAAGATTAGGAGATATATAGTTTTTATCCTGTCTGCTTGTCTTACTGTTTGTTCGCATAAACTTGAACCTGTTCATAACTGTTGACTGGGTTGGCTATGGCTTTCATATTGCACAGGTGTATTCCTGGTGACAAGACCTTTCTTTGGGTAACATCAAATTTGACCTCTTGATCTTAGCCCACTTTTACAAAACTTTAACTTTGAAAAGTTGATTCCAGGGCTTCATACTTAACATGTATATTCATTGTGACTTAGACCTTTCAATTGGAATAACTTTTTTGACCTTGACCTTAGAGTCTGTCCCACTTTTTAAGAAACTTTAACCTTTGCCATAAATGTTGAACATCAAGTACAAGGGCTATTATTTTTCATGGGTGTATTCCTTGTGAAAATTATATAACTTCCTCTTTTAAAATACCAAGTTTTGACTTTCATGACTTGCATTCGAGAAACGTGAGACATGTGTACCACTCAGACGTATCACAGGTATTACATATTTTTAAACTAAATATTTCAGTAAATTCATAGGTGTGTGAATCCCTGTGATTAATCAGAAATGCATAGATAAAGCTTGTACATGTACATGTAGTATGCTTTATTATACCTGTCAAGGGTTCAGATATTGCAATTTTTTGCCAAAAAATTGCCAGGTTAATGTTTCGGAGCAGGCCTCATTTTGGAGTAGTTACCCCCTGCATATATATTGACAAAATTTGTAAGGTTGGTTTCTAAAGGTACACACAACTAGACTTGCTTCAGATGATGAATTTTACCCAAGTTTCCAGTTGAGTAACTAAGTTAAAGGATTCGTTAGAGCAAATTCATTAAACAAGTCCTGGCCATATAAGTTTTCTTTTCATTAAGTTCCACTGTTTCAAATTACTATTGATTGAGTATTTATTTTCTCCTTGATGTTTCCATATTTACAGAATAACATTTCATTTGCACTGCACGAACTGGAACCACTTGCATGTGTCTTTGAAAAATCTTATTTGATCTTCCAAAATTCATACCATATCAAATCCTGGTACCATTAATGAAAGACATTCATCTAATAGTTATATTATATTATGAAATAGGAGGGATATATCACTAAGGTAAACTGGTTTCCTATTTCACTTTCCTTTTTTTCCTGAAAAACAAACAAACAAAAACAAAAATCAAAAAATGGATGATAGCCAAACAAATATTGAATATAAAAATCACAGACAAGAGCTACAGAACCAAATTTTATTGCACATATTCTAAAAAATAATGGAAAAAAATCTATTGAAAAGAAATCTATTGCACTTGAAGTTTGGCCTTGTCATATTTCACTCCTACTGATAGGGCGATTAAAGTTTATACACTGTAATAAACCAATGATTATGCAGTATAACTGAAAACAGAGTATTCATGTTTAATTTATAATATATCATACATACAATAATGAAAATTAGCAGCATAACAAAGGATCTAAGAATAAATAAAAACAGCAAGTCACATCAACTTCAGTGGAAAAACTGTATATGCTTATATTTTCTATTAAAAAAGCAGAAAATATTATCAACATGAAAATGTGTTCAATATACATAATTAAAGTAAAACTAACACAGTTTCATTAAAAATCTAAAAGCACATATCACAAAACTGCAACAAACAAGTCTCAAACAAATTCTAATAAATTAATATCAATACATATACATGTATATTAAAAAGCAATATATCTATCAAACTTTTTACAAAACAAAATCTTAATCACAATTGCTTTAGCATGATGTAATTTTCTTCATTTTTAGGTGTTTTTGGTGAATATTTTCCTTATCAAGTCCTTTCTGGTTTAATATCACTTCAGGTTAATGTCTCTGACTTAAGAGCCTCATCCATTGCACCATTAACAAGCTCATCTGCGATGTCCTCCACACTGGAGCTCTTCTTGACCTCTGACCTTTTGACCTCTGACTCAATTTCTGAGTCCTTGACCTCCTTCTTCATTGTTTGGTTCACTCCACTGTCAGTATGTTGATCTGTTTTCTTTGAATCCTCCTAAAATAGCACATTATCTTTAGAAACACCATCGTACATAATTATGTAGTTTGTTTCACCACAAAACATAGTCATGACCTTAAATTTGATGATCATAATAAGGCTTTTCAATAATATGCTGATTTTTTTTTCCTTTGGGTAATTTTATAGACAACATAAGATTCAAACAAAATTCTGATAAACACTTCAATGTAAAGTAATTAACTTATTTTCATGTTTAGTAGTTTTTATATTGACCTTTATAGCTTTCTTTGTGACCTTGACCTCTTGTCTGATGAGAAACTTCTCTCTAAGCCTCGTCAGTTCTGCCTCACTAGCTTTGATGGATTCCAGGAAGGATTCAGTGACATAGTTACGGAGCTTAACTGATGAAAACACAGCTTCTGTTCTGAATTTCAGCATTGTTTCTGATGTCTGCAGCCACTTGTCATCTAGACATTCACTGGCAGTCATTCTATTTCTACAAACAAAAATAAAATTAAAACAGTCCCAATACTAAGGGGTTTTTTTTTAATGTAAAGACATTTCTAATCTTGTAGGTTAAGAGCAAATAAATCCTCTGGTGACCCAATTTAGATAGCAAGGGATAGAATCTGGACATCAAATTCTATTGCTGAATTGGTTTTTTGTCTTCTAAAATAAACATGTCAATAGGGTATGCTTATCTCAATAACCTGGTTAATGTTCACCATAATAGAAAAAACCCAAGAGCTGATCCCGTTCCCTATAAACATGTTTTCACAACTGTTCATTTATTAGATATGAATCAAAGCAATGAAAGACATGTCTGTGATTTAATATATAAGAGGAATGCCCGTAACTTCTGGCCCCCAGTAGAGGGTGCCATTTACCTGGAGACCCGTTTGAGGACCCGGAAGATGAATTTGAGCGCTTCCTTTGTGATGTTCTCGTACAAACTCAGGGCATTGTATCTATTGTAGGCTACATTTGTAAAGGTGGCCTCCTCATCTTGTCCCTTGTAGGGGGATTCCCCACTCAATCTGTGAAAGAAATGGAGGAGATTAATATCACCAGATAAAACACAATCTCTCCTGACAATAACAGTCTCTTGATTAATTCTACTCAATCACTACTGCATACTTGGGAATTTAAACCTAGGTTATCATGGACAAGTTTAAAATTTTCTTTTGCTAATGAAACAATGTCACTGCCACATGAAGTTTCAAAATATCATTTCTTTGGTTGTTGGAATATAAAAAATGATAACAAATAAATTTTAGAGCTTTACATGAAATTAACTTTGAAAACAAAATGTTGGTCATCAAGAACAATTTTCATTTGACTTATCTCAAAATATTTAATTTTTTATACACATGTATGCATGTATGTAACCTTAAATGATGGCCACAATGGACTTTTTTTAGAATGCAATACACTTTCTACCTAAATGGCATTTTCTGTCCAATTTTGATGATTTTTAATAGATTAAATTAATCGTTCTCTTCAGTTATGAACCTGACAAGATTTCCCAAAATTTCACATACTTGTGATAATGATAGATAACAGTGAACTACCTTTTAACTCTAACACACCTTCTACCCAAGATGCATCAGTTGACAAAGATGGCCTAAATCAACTTTAGTTATGAGGCAGCCACAAAAAAAGCTAATAGACTAACAGACGGACAACACCAAATCATTAATTTGTAATGCATCCAGTTATGGACTGCATTTGAAAATCAAGTACTTGACATACAAATGTAAGCAAGAGGACTCTTCTTTTGTTAATTAAGTTTTTTTTACACATATTTAAAGAACAGGATCTATTTCAGGGTCTGCATGACATGAACCTTTTAGAAACATACAACAGCATAATTTTTACATTTTATAATATGTTACACAATTATTTTCAATATGTACAAGTAATTTAAAGTGGGGTGTTGTGAGATTAAACAAAATACCACATTGTTCACAATGACCAATGAAAATATACATCTTGCAGAGTCAATACTTACAATAAGAAAGTTAAAACTCCAACAGACCAAATATCTGCAGGGTATGAGGTCATCTCCTTGACAACCACTTCAGGGGCCATAAACTCAGGATTGCCCTCCCTGGGAACAACTTGACCTTCCTTGGTGACCTTCTGAACCAAGCTAAAATCAACAATTCTGACGTCCAGACGGCGGCGACTGACCATCATCACACTACTGGGCTGGATGTTAAGGTGAGCATAACCATGGTAATGCAGGAACTGCAATCCATCCAATACCTGCCGTATCACTATGGCAACCATATCCTCAGTGTATTTAGATTTATAAGAGAAGTGTTCTACAACATTGACTCCAGACAGGTATTCCATTATCCAGTAATATCTGTCCATATATAAATAGGCATCATACAGCTGAACAAATCTCTCATGTCTCAGAGTACGCAGAATTTCTAGCTCTCTCGATAGTCTGTCTTTGTGTAAATCAGAAACTGGTGTAATTTTTGTGATATTATGAAGTTTCTTTGTCTTGTCTGTGGAAAGCACATAGGATGAAGAGTAATTTCCTCTGAAAAATAAAGAAAAATTTAATATCTTGTCATTTTGCTCAAAAATAAATATTCAAAGAAAATTCTATAGCTCAGTTTCATACACATTTCTATAATTTTTTCTCCTAAAAACTCCTAAACACCACCTATGAAATAAACATTTAAATAAGTCAGTCTAGTTATGTTTTGATCACCTCACCCTCAATATACTGTAATGAACTATTTACCTCCACAGAACATTAGATAAGCTGTACTGGTCCTCTACATTGGTGGTCTGTAGAGTTATCTCCCTTGAGCTGATGTCCTCGGGTGACAGTCTGTTCTTTGGAGGCTGGTAAAATGACAGCCCTTCGTGTTGTCTTGACAGTTGGGAGATTGTGAATGGGTCCAAGCTGATGTCAGCAGAACCTATTGAAACAAAAGATGTTTGTGAAATTGGGAAAAGTGGCAAACATGATATTCATGTCATTATCTTTTTATTTGAAAATCATGTAAAAATTGTATAAATATTTTTTTCATGCAAATTTTCTGTGAAAAAATGTGTATGAATTTCATATAAATTTATGATAAGCTCTGAACATCTTATTGAGCACATCTTGTAAACATGTAACTGCAAGTCAAATTGCACTGAATCCCTGACATTCCTGACTCTAGCTCCAATTTCAGCTTTGAACAGTGTCTTTCCTCTTTATTCACTTTTGATTGTAAACACTGACCTTTTGGTTTGGTTGTGATGAGGACTGAGGACACACTGTATGGACTGTCTCCTACATTGTTGGTACAACAGACTCTGAATCGGTAAGATGTACTGGGACTAAGTCCAGTCACCAAGGCACACTCATTAATGGAGTAAGTTCCTAAACACCACCTGTCTGATCCTGAAAGTTAGAACAAATTATTAAAATCCACTTTATCTAGGTGTAAAAACAAGCTGCAATATGCTCTTTACATGAATAGGTGAAGTGAAAAAGGAGAACTGGTCTACCTGACTGCCTGTAGTCCACTCGGTAGCTGATGATGTCAGAGTTCCCATCATTCTCTGGAGGTTCCCATAGTAACAGGACGTCACATGATGATATCTGTGAAATGACTGGTCGACCAGGCTGAGGAGGTGTCTCTGAGAGAAAAGTATCAAAGAAATAGAAATTACAAACTTGTTACTTTCTTTAATAAAGATGCCAAGTATTAGGATATTTTCATTTTCATCAAACTTTAAGACCCCTCACCTCCCACCATGACTCTGGCATAAGTAGATGACTTCCCAGTCTTGTTCCTAGCTGTACATTTATAGATGCCGTCGTCGTAGGCTTTGGCTGAGGTGATGACCAGTGTAGCTATCCCCTCCTCTGTCAGAGACGTCTTCATCCTCTTCCCGTCTGTGACGAGCTCCTCATTCTGGAACCAGGACACGCTGAGGGTCGAGGAGCTGGTGACATGACAAGACAGGGTGATCACATCTCCGGGCCTGTAGTAAGTGTCATGTAACTTGATGGTAAACTGGGGGTTGTCTGCAGATATATCAACAACAAATAAGGAAAGACGAAGCAGAAGAAAGGAATAATTTGATTAGAATGAAAGTTAGACACTCTTATCTTTAATTTTATGGGACTATAAAATAACATTCTAGATAACTGCAGTTGCTGAATATAGAAAAAAAAGGTAATTTTCTATCCATCTGGTTTACATCTCCCATTTATGGGAGAGAGATGATAATGACCACACCCCTTTGAGGAGCAGATATTGTCCTCAGTACTTACCTTCCTCCTCCTCTTCCTTAGGGAAGAAGTCCTGGGGCCTCTGTAGCTGCTTTTTCTCCTCAGCAGCCATCTGTAGCCACTCCCTCTCCTTCTTTAAGATAGGGTCACCACAAACTGATTCCAGTTCTGTGTCTGACTCATCAGCATCAAGTCCATAGTAATATCTACAGGACAACAAGCAAAGAAATTCAGAAAACACTCTATAAGATCAGAATAATTAATATATTTATCAACTGAAAAAAACTTTTTACTGAACACCTCAGAAAAGTGTATGATGCCTCAGGATTAATTTGATCAGCACTAAGTTCCACAATACATTATTGGATTGTAGAAGATGAACATTCTATTTACCTTGATTGCCAGTCAAACCAGGACTCCTGATCCAGGAACTCTCCGTACAATCCGGACTCAGGGAAAGACAACTCTCCTGTAGCTGAGTCCTTGTCTACGTGGATACCAGTCTCCTGTTTACCCTCTAACACAGACAGAAGGGGCTGAAGTCTGACTGGACCCCTAGTGGCTGATGTTGTACACTGTAAGACACAGATATTACATGTATTTTACAGTAAAACTCAGTCACCTGAAAGGAACAGGTATTCCATACGACAGTTTGTATAGAGTCAGGATAAATATTCACTGAATCAAATGAAGCTTACCCTAAGTTTGTACTGGGTCTGGAATTCAGAGAGCCTGTCACGACTGATCACTCCACCCTGGGACTCTGCATTCTTAATCCAGGGATGAGACAAACAGCCATCAACAGTCATTCTCTCTCTGTTGGAGAAGTCAAAGTGTTTTAATAAAAATTCAAGAAACAGATACAGTGTCTATCGGTACATTGTAGACATGAATTCATAACTACATGAATTAAGCCAAAGACTTGTCAACTGCTTTACATCGTGGCTGTTAAAATATGCACTGTAAGAATTTTTTTTTTTCTACAGCTTACTTGGGATCTCTAATGAGGATTTTTGAGAGGAAGTCATTGGCTTCTGGTGACAAATCGTTCACTTCCTGCCACCTGTATTGGATGGTGCTCTGTAGTACTTCCTGTTGTGTGGAGCCTGGGAAGGGAGGCAATCCAGTCAACCTGTAATATAAAGTCAGAAGTATGAGAAAGGTCCAAATATGCACAAGAAGTATCTTATAACTTGTTTTGCTACACATGAGTTGTCTTGCTGCTTACATTGTGTAGACTGTGGCTCCTATAGCCCACACATCAGAAGCTTCGGTCACCGCCTCATTGTGAACTTGCTCCGGAGAACAAAATCCTGCAGTGCCGTAATTCTTTTTCACTTCCTCGTTGCGCTGAAGTCTCTCCGAAAATCCAAAGTCAATCAGGGTCAGATTTGTGTTTGAGCTGAATCTTATGTTTGATGGCTGTAAATGTCAAGTACATTAAATTTTACAAGTTATTCCTATTTCCTTTGAAAACCACAATTCAAGACTGCAGTTGTCAGCTTGACATTCCATATCTTGACATTTGCATCTTAAAAAGTGTACTTTTAAAACATTTAATATTCAAAGAAATACAGGGGTAAATTTTATTACATGCATAAAGAAAGTCTAAATTATGTCCATTTTTTTTTTCTTTATTTTAGAGTGAATTTTTTTTTTGCAAGACCTGTAATCTCTCAGGGTTAATTAACATATCATTATAAGGTAAAACCCAAAAGATGACAATTTAAGAGCTGTGTCTCATATAGCTCATATAAATAAAGCAAATATTCTTATACATGTATTCAGTAAAATTAACCAAAAAGATGTGTATCCGATACCTTGATATCCAGATGAAGGATGGATGCCTTGTGAAGCTCCTTAATGACAAGGAGTAATTGCTTGATGTTTGTGGCCACCAAACTTTCTGTGGGAGTGGGGTCCTGTAGCACTCTGTCTATGATGTCATAATTAGTTACACTGAGGTAAAAGGTCAAGGCAAATAAACAACATAATCATTGTACAGCTTTAATGTAGATTGTTCCTCACGTTCATTAGGTATATTAGCAGCAAACACCTCATGTGTTTGGGATTTTCTCATGATTCAAGGATACGTATTGTTAATACTGATTGAAACAATTTCAGATTTAGAAACAAGGGGGATTTTTAGGCAAAAAAAAATCTTGATGAATATTAAAGTAAAATTACCCAACATAGGTAATTTTACAGATTTAAGAAAAACATACAGAGCAACTGGTAACAAATAGAAATCTTATTAATTATTTTTTAAAATAAAATGCCTCCTTTTTGGGTTCCAGCTTCAGGAAACACAAAATATCCTGTAAGATTTCATTCTGTTTTTAGGATCTTGACTAGTGCTCTGAATTCAAAGGATACATCTCTGTAATGATAACGATCCTCCTCTCTGTGATGAAGGCGTCCACCAGTTTAGGTACACCCTGCTGATTTAACCATCTCAGGATGTTAAGCTCCGTCCTGAAGAATCTTCTCTGGTGCTCATCACAAACATGAATAAACTTAGCAGCGTACTCGCTCCCCGTAAACTTATCTAAGACTCGATGCACAATACCATGTCTGCCTCTGTAACAGAAAATTGATAATGAGGATAAAAAAATTTCCTGTACTACGTCACAAATCAGCTGATTATTTTTTTTAAATGGAAAAATGGACAGATCGACTTCATGAAAATATTGTTAAATACATGTATATACATAAACAGTGCTCCAAAGATCTTAAAAATCATATATTCTTTTCTGATTATTGACATGCTTAATCAATTGCCATGCATGTCCCCATCCCCCTTCAGCCTTATTGCTAGATGTTGTTTGTAAGACTTACCTTCCTATTTCCTCTAATACGTGGTAGTGATCCTCCATAAAAGTTTCTCTGTAGGGGAGGGGCTTCACCATAAGGTCCCGATCTTAATAAAGCACATAAAAGCATCACATTAAATACAGAATAAAAATTTCTCTTCTAATAGAAGATGACATTACAATGTACAACATGTATTAATGAAAATGATTATTTTTTTTATCAAGATGAATCAATGAAAATGATTTAGTAAAAGTTGTAATCAAGCTGTAAAAGAATTTATATTCAAGCTGTAAAAGAACTTAGAAATTTGAACAAAAAGTAAAAGCTGTTTAATAGCTTATAATGAAATAATAGAGACAATAAATAAGTTCATGCAAAAATTTGGTATTCAGTGCAAGATAATATAATGGTACATATATAATCTTAATGGTTTCAACAGTATCTGAAGTTATACCCCAAATCACACCTTTTTTTTAATTTACAAAAGTATCTTTTTTATTAATCAATATTTTTCATCTATCAAACCAAAGATAAGAAAGAAAGAAAGGGGAAAAGACTTAACTGTGTTTTTATTTGGGTGGAATTATCAAAGCAAGCAACAACATAAGAAGTAAATGTTTTAAAGATTTAAAAGTTTTTTTTTTAAGGCCTCATGCAATATACCTAAGTGATCTTCATTTTCTGTAACAAACAATTAGTAAACTATTCTTAGTAAACTAATCTTATTAACTTAATACACTTCACTATAAACACACATCATATCCTCAAAATATATACATATAAACTAGTCTACAAAAGTATCAGAAAATTAGGTTAATCATTACATCAAATGTCTCTTTTCATAAACTTGATCTACAAAAGTATTTCTACATACAAAGGTACAAGGATACATCACAATTTCTGACCAGTAAAATAATCCCTACCTTCCACAGTGATTTTAGCAGAGCAGGTGCTCTTTCCTGCCATATTTTCAGCTACACAGGTGTATGTTCCCGAGTCTGTAGTGATGACCTTGTCCAAGGTCAAGGTCCAGGTGTCTGGGGGCTCGTAATCGACCCTCAGACGGGAGGTACTAGTCAGGGGGCGGGAATCCTTGAGGAATTTGACTGTGGGATAAGGCAGACCATCCACTCGACAGACAAGCTTTCCAGACTGGTGACTGTCCAAGGTCAAATCCGAAAGTGGGTCAAGGACAGTGGGTTGGTCTGGAAAATTGTTTAAATTAGAGTTAAGTCTCAATGTGAGCAGTCTGGCAAATATAATTTCTATTTTGAGTCACTTGGATAAACAGTTAATTTCCTATGTAACTAAACACTCTATATAGTACTCTATAAATCCCTTACCTGCCAGTTCCAGCTTGATGATCTTTGTTGCAGTTCCATGTTCATTCTCAGCAGTACATTTGTACTCCCCTATCAGGTCTCTGGTCAACTTGATGATTTCAAGGGTAGCATTACCACTTGGGGATATGTGAGCTTTGAAATTGTCCCCATAATCCACCTCAGCCCCCATAAAGAACCATGAGGTAGTGGGCAGGGGATAACCTTTGACCCCCAAGGTCACTTTACAGGAAGTCCCTGCCACTCCATAATGTACATCCTCATTTGTGGACTTAAACTCAGGAGGACAGGCTAAAAATTAAAAGTGGACAATATGAAATTATGCAGTAGCAGACAGCATGAGAGTGAAAACAGGATATTTCAATAATAATTAAAATGGGACAACAAAATCTACCTTTTTTCTCCCTGTTGATGTAGATGTCTGACTCATCGTCTGTGAAGTCAAATGATTTTTGTTTCCTCAGGCTCTCTACAGAAGACGCCCTGGATCTGATCCACGGACTCCCACTATCGAAAGATCCAGACCGACTGGATACATGGGGCACGTAGTCATCTGTAATTGTGATCAATCTTATATATCTAAGGCTAAATCCAAACATTTCAAATAACACTTAAACTGAATCATCCCCACAGATATAATATAACTATTTGATCAAGTTATTATAATTATTTGTTCTTTACAGATCATTTAGATAAAGATACAACATAGGTAATAAATAATTAATTAATAAATAAATTTCTATACATGCTCAGAATTGCATAAATATGGAAATTACTTTAGTAAGTACAATGTACTTTACTTGAAAATGTATACCTTTGTTCCTGATGACTGAAGCCGGCATGGTGGGCTCACTCAAACCATACTCGTTCCTGGCTCGCACTCGGAACAGGTAGTCCTGATCAGGGTTAAGGTCTGACACGTCGTACTCGGTGTCCCGGAGATCCTCCTTAATACTCCTCCACAGCGTGCTGGGGGGCTCACGGATCTCCACAACGTACGTCAGCTTCTGGTTCTTAACATAGGACGGAACTCGGGCTGGCATCCACGACATAGACAGTCTGTCTGGAAGCTGCTGAGTGATCAAAGGTCGTGAGGAGGGGATCCGAGGGGGTACTGTACAAGAGTAAGAAATAAATTTCACATAAAAATAAATTCTCCAAGATTTTAAAATTAAAAAGGTCACACACATGAATTTTATTTTCAGAGTGACATCTAGGAAATTTCATGGAATTATCCTCAGATACAAGTATTAATTATGAAATTACAATACAAGAACTTAATTCCTTCCAATTTTCACATAATTCAATATTTGGTGCTTCAGTGTATTGTATCCAGCTTGCAATTGAGACTACGCCCCTCCATACACACACTGAGTACCGTATAAGTAGAATATTTAGCGAGGATTTAATATTGGCATTATTAGCGAGGGTGTCCAGATCGCTAAAATTGAATATCGCTAAAAATTAATTGCGTTTTATTTGTAATAGTTTCTTTAATGTGCATTTTAAAATCGCTAAAATAACATCTCGCTAAAAATAAATTACCAGTTTTCAAGGACAAATCGCTAAATTTGAGTCTCGCTAAAATTTCCACTTATACGGTATTTGTACCTCCAGAAGGAGTGGGTTCTCTCTTTATTGGTAAGTCTATGTCCTCCCTTAGTAGATCTACACTGGGTCTCTTGTTCTTATCTGTAAACCAGGAGAAAAAATCATTTAAACACAATAATCACATGCAAGAGTCAGGACTTGTCGTATTAATTTGTTAGCTATATCTATTTCTAGATTAATAAAATTAATCAATGTTAATCTTGATACTTATATCATATAAGATTCTCTAGATATACAATTTAGCAGTCAGTAAACCTCAATCAAAGCAAACGTACTTCATCTTACCTATGTTTTTTAATGTTTGATTATATATATATTCAACTGTAATATTCTTCTATTTTGAAAAACAAAGAAACTAAAATAAATATTACGGAATTGCAAAACACCGGAATCATTTGCTTACACATACCATAAACTGTTCTACAATTTTCTTCCAGAAGATGTTCGATACTCTTAGTTCATGCAAGATTCATGCATCAAAGTAGTTCACTTTTCTCCTCTAAGTAGAAGCAAAACACACACTATTATTTTGATAAGCATCAATGAATAAAGGTTAATAATCTTGCAATTAAGTGTAACACATTCAAGGCACATTATCTATATTTTCATGCACAATTTAATCAGCAATTCAAGATTTCTGATATATGTAATAAACGATCAGAATCCAGAAGGTACTTTGTTGGAAAACTTTAACAGTGTCAGATATAATTCAATTTTTATGGAGAAATAGAGGAAATCAGGTCAAGGTCAGATTTTAAGGTACTATGGAGGGATCACAAGGTCAAAAGATGACCCAGTTTCTACCTGAGTTAGTATTCCAGTCTCGCTTAAAAAGTTCATAATACTCCATATCTGGAAGGAATTCTAATCTCCTTCCCTTTTCTGTAAAGTGGTTGGTAAATGATCTTTATTAATTAGCAGTGGATTAATTTACATATATACCACTTACATTTTTTTATGTAAATAAAGTTAATTTTTGAATTTACAACACTTTTTTATTACTTTAGTAATTTTCAAGCAGAGATAAATCTCACTACCCTGTATAAATAAGATTTATAATCAAATATACCCTAGATCATCAGACTGTTCTATGACACATGTCAACTGACCTTTGGGTCTATCCAGTGATGCTGGGAGTGTGGGGTCACTAACTCCATACTGGGTCTCGGCCTTGACCCTGAATTGGTAATCCTGTGTGGGCCTCAAACCTTCAATAAAGTAGCTGGTATCGCTGATTCCACTGGTCAGTCTAGACCATCCAGGAACATGGGGCTCCTACAGGGATAAAAATAAAAGTCAGCTTCATAATATTACTTAGAGTTTCTGGTTTAAACACTTAATTATAAAACTTTTTATGCTCTCTTTAGACTTATTTAAACATGCCTTGATTTCTATGATGTAAGTTATTGGTGTTTTCTTGGCATAGGCTGGTATTCTGGCTGGTAACCATGACAACATAGCAGTCTCTCCACTGTCTGTGATTCTGGGGGTCTCCATGGGTAATTTGGGTGGAGCTGAAAAAGGTGTTTATTTATAAGATGGATATTCAATCTAGGTCAATTAATTTACTACAGAAACTATAATTCTATTGATATTTTACAAAAGCCCTCAGAAAAACAAGATTTCTTATACATCCTGAAATATAATCAAGGAAATTAATTAGCCATGTTAAATACGGACATTGTAAATATTTCCCCCTAAATAAGGAAAATACACATAGTATGTTCGCTCTGTATATAAATAGATAGATTCTTTGATTTAATACATATTAGTCTTTAACTATTTTCTATGCTATTTCTGTAAGTCACCTAGAGAATTCAGATTATTCTGTTATGAAACATTTAAAATAAGGATAACTATTATTAATGATTCAAACTATTTTTTACTTTGTAACTATTAATAGATTCTATACTTTGATATATTATATCTATAAATTTATTATAAAGCTGAAATTATTGAATTATTATACTATGTCAACTTATTCTAATGACTGTTAAGTTATCTGTTAAAAAAATATTACGTCCATCATTCTACATTCATCTATTATTTAATACACAATAGAAATTAGTGGTTCCCCCATATAAAATAAATAACCATTTCTTTTTACTGTACTAAAGTGGAAAAAAAGCTCACATAAAAAATGTCACTAAATTGATTCTGTGACGAGAACAAGAGTTTAGAATTACATTTTTATATGCCTTGGGAAGGTGCATATAAAAGATAAAGCAGTATTCAAGGACACATTTTTGACACACTAAAAAATGTTAAAGATTAAAACTCCACCAATCACTCATAGGAAAAGTTTTAATTAATAATTATATGATGTAAAAGCATAAATATTTCTGGTATAAATACATGTACATTAACAGAGGTTGTTATTCCCAAAATCTGTCAAACAATTAATATCTGTTAGTTTTTATTTTTTTTATAACAAATAATTCTCATGAGAGAATTTCTTTCGAAGCAATAGGATTAATCATGTAAAATTTCCACACTCCATTCAAACCAAACACAAGAATACCTTCATCAATTGGTGTGTCTGAAATTCAAAACATGGGATCTCTAATTCTCATGTAAAATTTAATATGCCCTCACTGGCTCAGTACAAATTATCGGAATATAAAACTGTGATTTTAATATGTAAACATATATGGAGGCTCACGACTCTAATCTGCAATTAAGACCTCAACATGCAAGAAATGTTAAAATGAAAAATTGTTCATATTCTTTAGAGAAAAAACTTTCAATAAAAAAGACAATTTATTGAAATATATATATATGTAAAAGAAAGTTATCACACTGTTACACAAAATCAAATGATAAAAAATGTAACTGAAATAAAAAAAAAAAGAATACCAGTAATAAAGAAAATGAAATAAAAGAGAGAAAATTTTGCACTAAACAGATTTCAATGCAATAGAGAATGTAATCTAAATAAAGATCTTCCAAAAAATCTAAGATCATTCTAAAGGATTGTGGGAATGGTTTGGAATTCTGGGAAGGTATGTACCTAGATCTCCTAGTGTGACTCTGTACTGTTCATCCCAGTCTTCTCCGGAGTCATAGTCATCTGACAGCTCTGTAATATAAATAGTCATTAAATCTGGAAAATCCCTCAGCAATTTATCATCAACCAATCATAATATAACAAACAGCATCACCTAATCAAAACACATTTTCTTTTCTCAGAATTTTACCAGATAAATATATTTTGCACATTGCAGGAAAAGAAATTATTAGCTTTAAAAGAAATTTTCAAAAAAAGTGAAGAATTTGAAATTTTTTTTTTCTTCATTAGAATAGACATATGTACAACGAAACTGACAAATCTGTAGATTGTTTTGACAAACATACATAACTCCATATTCCAATGGATCTGGACCTATGCACTCTCAATGTGTACTAACCAATAGGTCTGTGTAATGACACAGGGAGACTTGGCTCACTGCAGCCATACTCATTCCAGGCACGGATCCTAAACAGATAGTCCAGACGGGGATGGAGGCCCTTCAGGTCCGTGTTTGTAGTGGTCAGTCCCGTGACCAGCTCACGCCAGTCCAAGTTAGGGGGGTTCCTCACCTGTAATTAGTACAGGTAAAACTCAGCATAATAGTCAATTCAATACAGTAGATTCATATTATGCATTATAAACTTTAACTTCAGCCTATATAGGAGATTTAAATATCATGGTACTCGCATCGTTTTCAAAATTAAGGATTTCAATCTTGGTAGAAAACAAAGAAACACATCCCACCTCGACTGTGTAAGACAGATTACAGGTGTCCCTGATTTTGTCTGGTACTCGTGCTCGCTTCCATGTCAGCGTCACACTCTCGGGACTGATGGTGTACAACTCTGGCTTCTCAATGGGCAGTCGTGGAGGAACTGACAGAAAATACACACATTTATGGCACCATTCATTCAGATAATAATTTCTCAATGCAAATTTTATGAAAGTAATTTGAATACTAATATGCTGAAATTCAGTAACATATCTTATCAGATTTTGAAAATGCTGTAATAAATATAATTTAAATAAAGTTAAATAAATAAGTTTTATTAGACACCACTTTCATTATCAATCATGATAATATATTTTTTAATAATCAAAAATGCTTAAAACAAAGAAATAAGTCAGTTTGATGCCTGTTTCTACTTACATGCTGATTGCAATATATACTTACAGTTTTAAGAGAAAATAGTCCAAAGACTTTATAGAGGACCTATATTTTGTGCGCTGGGATACATACTGTAGGTTGTGAGGTGGTCGATGTAGGAGCGGGAGGGAACACTGTAGTCCTGTTCAAACACTTTGTATTCATACACTTTGGAGGGTTCTCTGGTCATAGGCACTGTAGCAAGAGGAGGAATAAACAAAACATAGGTGTACATCTCAAAAAAAAATCTCAACAGGTGTGGATCTCAAAAATACCTCAATAGGTGTTCATCTCAAGAACAAAGCATTGCATTTCAGTGCATAGAAAACAAGTTTATAGTTGGGAAGATTTTTCAAGTAATTTTCTAAAGTGCTGCACAATACTTTGGGTAAAATTGTGATATGTATGACAACATTAAATTAAACTTTTTGGAATTACTATTACATTGTAATGGGGCATTGGAGAAAATTTAATAAATGTTAATATAGAAGTGTCAGTTGTAAATTAATAGGACATTCATAAAGAAGAGTATTTTTTAATGAATTGTGTCATGGACGCATTCAAGATAATAAATAACTTTACAAAGTTTGATCAAATATAAAAATAACATCTGATGGCTATAGAGAGAAGGAACTTGGAAAGATTATTCATGAAAACAAGATGCTGAAGATTGCTCAATTCCAACTGGGCAGCACCTCTCAGGTGAATATCATAGATGATTAAAATACACAAGACCTTGATCATAACAGGAAAGTATCAGAGATAATTGAAATGGAGGAGTATAAATATTGATGGACTATTGTAATGGTACATTATTAGTTCTTTTTGAAGGATAATTTAGTTATCCTGGAATAAATCTCTTTGGGGTATTAGATAAATGGGAAACTGGACACTGGATTTTGTAGTGGTACCAGCATGCCTTTCCAGTTAACATAGAAGAAAGCGAGTCCATGATTTTATACGATGAGGATGAATGGCAGCATGCCTGTGACATTACCAAATTCTTCTATCCTCTCTAGCCAGTCCTCCACATTTCCTGTGTATTTTAGGAATGCCTCAATGTCAAATACAGGTCTCTTCATAGAATCAAAAGCTGAGTCATCTGATTCCTCAACCTCTTCACTCTCCTCAGAATCAGAACTCGACACTATAACCCCAGGGTTAAAGACCTTAGAGGCTCGGGGATTCCTGCTGTACACTTTCTCCATGAATGTCCTATGGAACTGCATCTCCTCGCTGTCCATTTTATCAGGATCAAACACAGACACTGTCTCTTCATCCTCCTCCCCAATCACAGACAGCTGAGGCATCCTGCCATCCATGCTGTACTCATCCTCACTGGAGCCCTGGCACTCACAGCAGTCACAGGGAACATCTTCATCATCCTCAGTTCTGTGCCTCCTCCTCGAGCTGAAGATCTCCAGAGGAAGAAGCTTCCTCAGCTCCGCCATGATGTCCTCATTACTACCTTCCCCCACCTCTTCCTCATCAGAGACTTGATCAGCCCTCACTGTGGAGTCAGAGCTGTGAGATTTGCTCTCTGAGCTTTCATCAAAGTCAAACTTCTGGTAAGTAAATTCTGGGGATTTCTGGTCATCCTTTGAGCTGCCTGCACTGGTTGGTGACTCTGGTCCTGAGAAACTTGTGGAAATAAACTGAATGTCATTTCTCTGATTTGATTCAACACCTCTAGTTATTTGGATATCTTTACCACTAAGTTTCTTCTCTTTCTCTTGGTGTTGATCATCAGTTTTCAATTCCTTCTTAAACTCCTTAATTTTAGTGTTTGTTATAAACTTTGAGACATCAAAGAAGCCTTGGTTTGCCTGCTCTCCTCTACTGATGTCCTCTGACATGTCTCTATTTTTGGTGACTAGTATTGGTGAGGAACTGACATTCTGTTTACCTTCACTCTTTTCTTCATTCTTTTTACTGTCATTCTTATATTTTTCTGTTACTTTTTTGTTTTGTTTCACAGATTTGGTTTCCTTATTTTCTGTGACCAAATCTTCTTTTTGTTCTGCTTTACCTTTATCCTTTGTCTGATTTTCCTTGACGATGTCAGTTTTCTCTATTGTTTTGACAGCTGTTATAAGTTCTTGTTTGGACTTTTCTGATGCAGTGCTTGTTGACACACCTTGAGTTTTCCTGTTGTCTGGGGACTCTGTGGGTGTTTCAGGGGACAGTTTGATAGCTGGTTTGGAAGCTAATTGTGAAGTCTCTTTGACCTCTGCCTGAGCAGTAGACATAACAGGCTGTGAACTTTTTTCCTGAGTCTTGGCCTCTTTTGCCTTTATCCTCTCCTGGTGCTTTTCAATGGCTGCTGCTTTGGATCTAAGTTTACTTCTCATGTCAGCAATGATGGATGTCTGAATTTTCTTGGCCACTTCCTGTGCATAGACTTTCCTCTGATAATCCTTGTCTACATCTTTAAAATGGACCTTTTTCTGTAGACCACTATTTTCTGGATCACTTGCAGTGTTCAGTTTTTTTCTATTTAGCTTTGGTGATCCATTTTGGTCACTTCCAGCAGTTAGTTTCTTTTGATTTTGCTTTGGTGATCCCTTGGGACTAAGTATGACACCCGGATCACTACATACTTCTTGCTTTTTACTATTTTGTTTTGGCCCACCCTGCCCATTGTCTTGGACTACTTTCTTCCTGTTTTGTATTGGAGATCCACCAGAATGCTTCACATCTTTGTCATCTTGTGAACTCTTACTTGTACCTGCTTTACTATCTTTGGAATGTTTTCTATTCAAACTCTCATTAACTTCATTTCCACTAGAATATTTTACTTCAGTATCAAATTTAACTTTAAGAGCACTCTTAGATTTGGACACTCCATCAGAGACCTGCTTATCAGCCTTGGTGCTTTTAAGATTTACAGACATTTCAGCTTTTTGGTCCAATGTTTCCTTCAGGTTACTGTTTCCCTCAGTATTTAAGAACCCTTTTCCTGGTTTTTCTTCAATAGTAATACTGTTTTGTTTACTTGTTTTCTCAGGTGCTACTGAATCAGCTTTCACCTTTGAAGACTTTAACAGAGGCAATTCAAACTTATGTCTGCTCTTAGTTTTAGTCTGCAACTCGTCCTTTTTGCTTACACCATTTTTATTGTCTGTTTTGCTTAAACTCTTTTTATCTTCCGTTTCAGCCAATTCTTTTTTCTTTGCTTTTGGTTCTTCAGGTGGAGCACTGCTTCCATTCTCTATCTCACTTAATGCATCTTTGCCAGATTTTTTGTCCACATCAATTGATTTCTCTCTGCTTCTTAGTAAATCCTTCACCTGTTCACTTTTCCCTTCGTTTTTAATGTCACTTTCCTGCAGTGTCACTTTCTTACTAACAGGCTTAAGATTTATAACTGTTGCCTCTTCTCCCCTCTCACTTAAATCCTTCATTTTATTTGCTGCTACCCCTGTCTGTAAGATGTCGCCATCACTAACAGGTTTGACTTCATTAATAACTACAAATTCCTTCAACACTTTAGTCTTTTTATTAGATCCTTTGCTTGTACTTGCTGTCTTACTGTCTTTATTCCTAGGTGACTCGTCACTGACATCTGGTTTTATTATAGCTGTTTCTTCTAATCCTTTTGTCACTCCAATTGTTTTATTACTTTGCTTATTGACAAATGATTTTTCCTGCTGAGTATTAGCACAGATGTTCTTTTCATCTTTTATTCCTTCATTATTCACAGAATGCTGATCAAATGATGAACCAGATTTGTCTCCAGTGTGTAACTCTGCCCTGCTCGACTTCTTCCCTTCAGTGTGTTTCTCTGCCACGCTTGTCGTTTTCAGATTTGTTTTCCCTCTACTTGTCTCATTCTTTCTATCTAAATTACTCTGTGGTTCTGTGACCCCTTTGACCTCTGCTTCATTTTTAGCCTGAGATTGCTTTTTCCTGTGTGTGTATAGAGCCAGTGTACCTTGGCACATTTCATTTGATTCTTTTTCTTGATTGACAAGCTTTGATTCCTTAGCACCTACTTCTGTGTTGTGTGTGATGTGAACCTTATCGTCTGCTCGTGAGCCAAGCTTTACGTCAGTGGTTGAGTTACTTTTTGTGTTACCTGGGTCCAATACAATTGTTTTACCATCTGTTGTCTTACTCTTGTGATGTCTATTTTTAGATTTCTCCTCTGGCTGCTTAGTGCTCACTTCTAAGGTTTGTTTATCCAATATTTTAGTCATATTGTCTGATGCACTTTTAAGTGACCTTGAATTTTCTTCTTCAAGAGCTCTGTTGGCTAGTTTCCTGGATGAATTGTTCTCCAACATTTTTATTTTTTGATGTTCTTCCATTTTCAGTTTTACTTCATTAGTTTTTAATTCCTCTGTTTTTAGATTAAAACTAATATCTTTTTCAGTTTGCTTTAATGTTTTCATTTTACCAGAGTCTTCATTAGAGCTTTCATTATCCTGTTTTAAAACCTTAATATCATCATTAATGCCTTGTTTATGGTTTGCTAAAATTGACTGAGTGGATTTGTTAAGTATCTCAGTGTTCTGGGCATTTAATGGTGATGGAGCCTCTGTATTTGTTTGTTTACCTATTACTTTATCTGCCCCAATTTCTACTTGACCATCCTGGACATCTTGACCAGGCTCTGGCTGCAATAAATCGGTCACTTTTGGAGGCTTCTGTAATTTGTTTCTTGTTCGGCTTATTATGTCTTTTAAAGATGGATTACTTTTCTCTTCCTTAGATTTCATTTTATCTACCTTGATTAATTTCTTCCAATTTGGTTTTTCCTCATTATGTCCTGGTTCTTTGTCGGTAATTTCTAAAGACGACATTTTTCTGTCAGAAGAATCCTCATCCTTGTTCTCTTTGGAATTTTTGCCTGAACTGTTTGATTTATCTTTCTTTTTGCTACTTTCCTCTCTCTTGGTCTGGAGATCTGCTGTGTTTATGCTGTCCCTATCTCCAGGAAGGACCTTACTCCTGTCCTTATCAAAATGTGGAATCTGGGTAGTCTTATCATCCTTTTTACTGGTATCGGATTCATCAACGGTAATTTTAGTGTCTTTTCCTTTCAACAGTGTTTTTTCTTGTGTTTTTTCTTTGCCTGTATTCTTTGTTGATGACAAAATGTGTTTATCATCCTTTTGTTGACTGGAATCAATTTTGTACATTTCTACCTCCTCAGTTTTATTTTCAGTCTTAGTGGACTTATAACTAATTTCTTTTTTGACTTGCATTAACCTTTCTTTGCTATCACTCTGCTTTGGTCTGCTTTTAAGGTTAGTTTTAATATTGTCAATTGTGTCTTTAAAATTTATTTGTTTTATCTCATCTGATGAATCATTCTTGGAGATTTTTGTTCTTGATTTTGGACTATAAGAACTGCTTGTAATCTTTGTAGGCTCTTCTATTTGTTCAAATTTATCATGTTTGGGTAAAGACTTTGGTAACGTTTGCTGTTTTTTGGTTCCATCAGATAGTAAAGATGACTTGTCTATGACCATTAAATTCTGTTCTGCTTTTTGTGTTTTCTCCTTGTCTGTTTCCATTTTTAAAGTTTTGTCTTCAGTTTTGTTGTTCTGTAGTTTCTCTCTAGCTTTCTTTAAATCCACTTTCACTGTTTTGCCGCCAAATGCATCACCAGGTTTTTCTCTTGCTTGCTTTGGAGAAGTTACTTTAGTAGTGTGTTTTGTTGTGTCTACATTGGCATCTTCTAACAATTTTGTTTTATCTATATCTGAGCTTTGCTGTTCAGTCGAAATGGTTTTCTCAGTTTTGCTTTTTTCAGCAGTATTCACTTTCTGTGTTTCTGCTTTAGAAATGCAAGTTACCTCATTTGAAGAAGTTTGTTTCGCAACTGCACTCTGGGTTTGTGTTTTATTTTTGTTTGGAATCATCTTTGTTTCTACTTGACTTTTCTCTTTTGAATCATCAGCTCTGATTCTGGCTTGCTCTTCATGGTTTGTCTTCTCTATTTTAAGTTTACTTTTATCTTCTACAATGGTTTTATTCAATGAGTGCCCACTGTTCATAGTGTCTTGGATAGACTTAGGTGTTTCCGAGTCTGTGTTTTCTGTTCTGAGAGAAAACCTATTTTTAGCCTTTTCTGCTTTTTGTAATGTTTCACCATCTTGTTGCTTGCCCAGCTTTTCTGTATGAGAAACCTCCACTAGCTCTTTCTTTGTCAATGGTGTTTTTCTCTGTTGTTTAACCATTACCAATGCTTCTTTACTTTGATTTTTATCTTCATTCTTAACCTCTGATAAAAGTCCTTTTGTCTTCTCATTTACTGAAATACTAGTAGATGTTTTTCCCATTGTGTCATGTGCAGTGTCTGACAGATCTTTCACTGTCATTTTTATTTCTCCTTTATCATAAGATTTAGTTTTAAATTCATCTCTCTCTCCAACAGATAATGACATCTCTTCTTCTTTTTGCTCCCTTGAACTGGGTGTTGAGTTTACTATATCAATTTTGTCAACTCTTGTTGTTGAGACTTTTGACTTCCTAACACCTGATTCTATTGATGAATCCTTTACTCGAGTCTTTTCAGTTTTGTCCTTACGAGTATCAGATTCTTTGGCTTGCTCTACTGCAGTGGCCTTTTCATTGGTTTTTCCTATAGGACTATTCTGTATCTCTAATCCAGTGTCATCACTTACACCATGAAGTCTAGATCTGGTCCTTCTAATAACATCCTTAAGACTTTCTTCTTTTACGTCTGCTTTATTTGGATCCTTCTTTCTGTCTTTAACATTTGAAACAGCTGGACTTTTCTCATCATTTCTCTCTGTTTTAGTATCTAAAATGCTGCTTATTTCTTGATTTGGTTTTCTACTTTCCAGATTCTGATCATCAATATTCTTTGTGGAACTTGTTTTTTCTGGATCCTGATTATTGTTTTCCTTTTCTTGTAGATTTATAGAAATGGAAGTGTCTTTGCTGACTGTCATTTTATTTTGATTTTGTGTATCTGTGTTTGACAAATCTAATGTTTTAAAACCTTTTTTCTCACCCTCTTCAGCTTTCTTTGAGACTTTTTTAGTCTCATCCTGCCTTTCAGCTAGACTTTGAAGAGGTTTTTGAGATGGCTGTCCAAGATTTGAAGAAGTTTGTAATGATTTCTCTGACAGAGAAGACAATCTATCATTTTCAGTAGAACTATTAGTGGTCTCCACTTGAGGGATCTTTGAGTATGATTGGGCTTCAGTAAAAAAATCATAAGATTTTTTATCTTCACTGATGAAAACTTCTGGACTCTTTATAGATGAATCAGAGCTTGAGCTGCTTTTCCTTCTAATGTTTTCCACCTTATATCCTCGTGGATCCAGTTTTGCAAATAAGCGGTCTCTGTTAAATCCAAAATTTGACTGACTTTCAGAATTGAAATCCTGGCTTTCAGATGTCTGTTTTGAAGATTCAATACTCAGTTCTTTTGGTTTAACAGTCTTTAATGTACAAGTTTCTTTGCTTTGTGTAATGGGTTTCAAGGTCAATGTTATAACTCTACAGTCACCACCTTTGTCTCTGTCTACTCTATCTGTTTTTACAGACTTAGTTTTCTTCTCCAAATTGTCTTCTGGATTTCTTATTGCTAGACCTGTATTCTTCAGAGAATCTCTAGGTACATCAAAGTCAATATAACCAGGCCCTTCTGATTTATTGGAAGTCTGTTTGGATATCTCTGTTTCCTTGTCTGACTTTTTATTGCTCTGTTTGGATTTCCCTGTGTTCTGACTCGACTTTTCCATTTCCTGTTTTAACCTAATGGCACTCTCTTCCAAATTCTCCATATTCTGTTGTGTTTTCTCTGTTCTTAGTTGTGACTTCTTGGTATCCTGACTTAAGTTTCCATAAGTCTTTCCTGATTTTTTTGTTTCCTGTTTCGAATCTGCAGAAATATGTTTTGTCCCTTCTATACCCAGTTTTGACCTCTCCATAACCTTTTCTTTATCCTGTTTTGATTTTAAAGTGCTGTCTTTTGATTTCTCTGTTTCTTGTTTTGAAATCTCTGTATCTTGTTTAGATTTTTCTGTATCCTTTTTCAACCTTGTGATATCCAACTTCAACTTCTCAGTATCTTGTTCAGCACTCTTGGTTTCTTGTTTAAGTGTTTTAGTAGCCAGTTTTGATGTCTCCGTATCCTGTGTTAACTTTATTATATCCTGCTTTGATGATTCTGTAGTGTTTTTTGCTGGCTTAGAATCTTGTTTTGATTTACCTGTACCCTGTTTTGATATATCTGTTTTCTTTTTTTGTACTGTGTCCTGTTTTGATATCTCTGTATTCTGTTTTGATGACTTCATTTCCTCCTTTGATATCTTAGTATCCTGTTTTGATATCTCCGTATTCTGTTTTGATATCTCTGTTTCCTGTTTTGATGTCATAATATCCTGGTTTGGTGTCTGTTTATCCTGTCTGAATGTTTCTTTATCCTGCTTTGATATTTTTGTCTCCTGGTTTGACTTTGTAGTATTCTGTATTGTTGTTTGAGCCTCCTGCTTTGATGTCTCTGTATAAGGTGCAGATTTCATCGTATCCTGTTTAGTCCTCAAAGTATATGGTTTCAATTTTCCATTATCCTGCTGTTTAGTCACTAAATCCTGATTTGATGTTTTAGTACTATGTTTTGATGTTTCCACCTCTTGTTTTGACTCCTTAACCTTCTGTTTTAATGTCTGATTATCCTGCTTTGTAGACTCCGAGTCCTGTTTTGATTTTTTAATATCATGTTTTGTCATAACTGTCTCTTGTATTGACTCCTTGACATCATGTTGATTACCCTGCTTTGAAGATTCTGGATCCTGTTTTGATTTTTCTGTATCTTTCATTAACTTCATTGTATCCTGTTTCAACTTCTGGGTATCCTTTGCTAGTGTTTTAGTATCCTGTTTTGAAGTCTTGTCATCCTTGCAATACAGTTTCAATTTTTCAGTATCCTGTTCTAATTTCTCTTTGTCCTCTATCATGGTGTTTTGTTTCAACTTTAAATTATCCTGATTTAAACATGCAGTATCATGCTTCAACTTTTCAATACTTTGATTTGATTTTGCCATATCCTGTTTTAATTTTGCAGTATCCCATTTTGACGTTGCAGTATCCTGTTTTGACAAATCTGTATCCTGTTTTGATTTCATGGTATCCTTGGTTTGCATCAAAGTATCCTGTTTTAATTTCATGGTATCCTGTGTTTGCATCAAAGTATCCTGTTTTAATTTCATGGTATCCTGTGTTTGCATCAAAGTATCCAGTTTTAACCTGATGGGCTCTTTTTCCATCTTTTCAGTCACTTGTTTTAAGCTATCTGTATCTTGTTTTGATGTCTCTGTATCAATTTTTAACTTCCTAGTACTCTGTTCTGACTTCATATTACCCTGTTGTGATGTCTCAGTATCTAATTTCCACTTCTCTGTTTCCTGTTTCAACCTTTCCATTTCCTGTTTCAACCTTTCCATATCCTGTTTTAACCTTTCTGTATCCTGCTTTAAATCCTCAGTATTGTCCTTTGATGTTTCAGTATACTTTCTTGATTTCTCAGTTTCTTTTGATGACTTTTCAGCCTCTTGTTTTTCCTGCTTTAAATTTTCAGTATTCCCTCTTGACTTCTCAGTATCCTTTCTAGACTTCTCGGTTTCCTTTCTTGACTTCTCAGGATCTCCTATGAATTTCTCTGTATCCTTTCTTGTTTTTCCAGTATCATCTGTTGTATTCTCTATATCAGGATATGGTATTTTATCCTGTTTTCCTGATTTTTCTACACCTCCACTCCTACCACCTTGGAGTTCTCTATCATCATCTCTCTTTCTTTCTACATGTTTAGATGATGAAGTACTTGTTGGTAGATGTGTATGGTCTAGACTTTCTTTTGATGTGATATTTTTTATGTCTGTTGGTGAGCTGTTTAGTTTTCCTTCTGCCTCTAAGGTCAATTTACTACTGTTCCCATCTGAATTATTTTTCTCTTGTTCTTTATTTTTTTGTTTCTTCTTTGACTTCTTGGACAACTGATCTTTTTCCTTTTCCCCTGTCACTGTCATTCCACTTGTATCAAAAGAATGATGCTTTTCACAGCTATGTGATTCTCTACCACTAGAAGTCTCTAACTTAGTGGACACCAGTAAAAACCTGACTGGAGTTCTGGATCTAGATCGCCTGTCTCTCCTTTCCTCCTGATCATTTGTCAGTCTCCTACTTTGCCCTCTGTCCTCTGTTCTTCCTTTTCTCCCTCTTCTTTCCTTTGTTATGTCATTCTCTGTTTCATTTGCCATTCTATTCTCTGTATTTTCCAATTTTTCTTTTTTATGAATAACTTTATCCTGTAAATCCTCTGGCTCTGTCTTTTCATTTAACAATTTATCTGATTTTGTTTCACTGGTGAACTTTTTATTATTCATAACTTTTGATGTTTCATCATCATTGCTCTTGTACATATTCAAAATTTTATCTTCCTCACATGCTCTATCACTGTTCACAGAATCAGTGTAATTTTTTAAGTTGCTAGTATCAGTTTTGGAAATGCCAGCATTTTCTCTAGACATCTCTTTGTTCAGAACAGAATTTTGTGCTACATCCTGTTCAAAAGGCTGGTTTTTATTGGCAGTCTCTGATACTTCTGTCATACCCTCACTCTCATCCCCTGCTATCTTCTTATCAAACCCATCTGCTGAAGATAATACTTCCAAAATGTTTGAATCATTATCTTGAGAAATCTCACAACTGGAAAGTCTTCTCTCTAAAGTTTTTCTGTCTATAGAAACTCTCTTAGACTGGTCCATTATCACAGAATAGGTTCTACTTCTTGGTGTAGCAGCAACACTGTCTGTAGCCTGAACCATCAACTGTCCACCCTCAACACTTAGAAACATCTTCTCATCCTCCTTATTTGATATCTCAGGTGTGATTTTGTCAGTTTTCTGTTTGTTTGTCTGGGCATACTTTTCTTCACCAGGTGTCGAAATATTAGTATTGTCTTGTGATAAATCCTTATTGGAATGGTTTGAATCAATGAGTTTTTCATCTTCTATGAGGAATGTGGGAGTGCTTTGTGATGAAATACGGGGTTGTGCTGGAATGTTTTCACTTTTACTTTGTCCAGTATGTAAAGCATTCTGTGGACTCTTGTCTCTAGAATTAAAATTGCTCCGCTCTTGGCTTATTAAGAGTAACTCCCGTTCCTGATATGAAAGCACTGGCTTATCATTAACATTTGGGTATTGTCTGGCCTTATGCTTTTCTAATGGTGATGAGCCCTGCTCCCTGGAGCTCCTTTCATCAGGAATTGGACGGAAATAATATTTATTCTGAGCATTTGGTGAACAAGACCGTCTGTTCTCTTTTCTTGAAGACAGTAGACTCCTATCTCTATAGTAAATTGGAGAACCACTTGCTGGACTAGGTGATCTGAATTCTCTCTGTTTTAATCTATCAAAATGAAATCTATCTTCTGAATATTTCAAATATGTGCTCTCTCTAGAACTTGATCTGTCAATGCTTCGTCCATGCCTTGATGAAAGGAGAATATCTTCATCAAACTGAAAAATAGCTCCATGTTTACTGCCTGGACTTTTAGATCTTGTTTCTTTTTGCCAAGTGGAGAATTCCTGGAGTGAGTAACCACTGTCTCTAGGACTGGGTGACCTTGTCTGTCTGTGTCTGTGGCTTGCAGACAGTAAGTCTGTATTGGGGACATCCCTGACATTGGATGACACCCTTTCTCTGTGTATATGACTTGAAGACAAAAAGTCCTTTGCACCGGGTGACGCTGTGTCCCTATGTCTATGACTGGGAGACAATAAGTCTTTATAACTGACATCCCTGGCACTAGGTGACGCTGTGTCCTTATGTCTATGACTGGGAGACAGTAAGTCTTTAAAACTGACATCCCTGGCACTAGGTGACAATGTGTCTCTGTGTCCATGGCCGGGAGACAGCAAGTCTTTATAATGGATATCCCTGGCACTAGGTGACAATGTGTCTCTATACCTTGGTGAATGTACTGGACTCTTGTCTTGATAAGGAGATAACAAGCCACATCTTTCATAGCTAGGAGATCTTGAGAGCCGCTCTGTCTCCTTGATTATATCATTTCTTATTATTAGGCCAAGATTTTTCCTCAGAATTGGTCTTGGCTCCATGTTTTGATTCCAAAGTGAAGTTCTGTACCAAAGGCATTACAATGTAAGCAAATATTCACAAATGTCCTAAGAATCTTAATGCCTAGTAATACACATTCACAGTGCACTGGTTCGATAAAATTTAGCTGAGTATTATGACCATTGAAAAACATGGCATTTGTCTACAAATGGGCATGGAATGCATTAACTCACAAATGTTTTAATACTTATATAACTATTGTATCACAGGAATTTTTAGCAATGATCTAATATTTCAATCCAATATGTTGTTTAAGTATAAATGAATAAAATATTTAAAATTTCTTGGTCGCTAAAATAATGTTCAAAGCTCCCGGTCATGTAGGAAATGTAGTCTTTTACAAAGTAAAAAGGACCGGTAAACGGAATGTATATCCTAGTATCTGTCAAGTCCTTGGAGTATTATTACAAATATACACACTTTGAATGTGTTCCATAAAGAATACTAATAAGCTAAACCAAAAGTGAATGTAAACTGGCAGCAATAGTATGTGGCTAACCCTAAACTTTATACTTCTAGATAACCTTATTTTGATAAGTAGTTATATCTCAGATCTGATATCTTAGCTATGCAACAAAGTGTCTTTTGAAATAGATTACATTCAAGGGCCAAAGTTAAGATGAGAATTGATTCCAAAATAGGCAAATCAAAATCAGTTTTTTTACTCTAACCTTTGATCTGAGATGCCATATAAAGATCATAAATCTATTGAATGAGTTACTGTTATTTTCATTTGGTTTTGTGGTTGTTTTGAATACATGAAGTTGTACTCACATCTGGATCTGTAGTAAGCGATGGGAGGGGTGGGCTCTGTCACATCACCATTGGGGGTCTCTGCTCTAATGCGGAACAAGTAATCCTTCCTTGGAGCGAGATCAGTGATTGTGTGCTCGGTCATGCTCAGTCCCTTGACCAAGGTACGCCAGTTCTTGAGTGGGGGCTCCTGGACTTCTATCTGGTATTTCAGTGGGACGTCCAAGTTCTCGTACGGGGGGATATAAACGTGGCGCCAGCGAAGGCGAGCCTGGTGAGGTTCCTCTTCCCAGATTTCAGGTCGTGCAATGGGGATTCCAGGGCGAACTGAAATAACGTTAAAGTCATATTTCCATAAAGGAGTTTTTCCAATGCTTCTATCATGCTCAAATCTGTTTTAAATTTAAAATTCCCAGTTAAACTCATATATTTAAATAAATATGACCATGAAAGATGATCATATCATTGATAATTTTACTTTCAATAGAATCTTTAAAACTTTTACATTTCTTTTTTGAACTACTTACTTGTACCTGCCTGAAAATATTAAGAAAATCCATGCAAAATAATCAACTTAATTATTTTCTCTTCAATCAAAACTTTGATAATTTAACACAAAAAAATATAAACATCATTCATTGTCAGATGCAGAAATTCTTGCTAAGCTTTCAGCAGTTCTATCATAAAATCTCCTAAATTCTCATCTAAGCTGCAGTATAAATAATTACATAACTTGATCCAGCAGCCCTGTATATATAACATTGTACTCTGTTTAGTTGGATCAGTAGATCTATGCTATATGAAGCAGACTTATTTACATGTGGTATTAATTCTGACTGTGTCCAGAGCTTCACACTTGTTAAGTTTGGTCAGGTGAGCAGTATATAGCACTGTAATCAGCTGTCAGAATCACTCAGTAACCACCAATAACAGACACTGCAATACTTCCAAGTCATGCATATAAAAAGTTTCAACATATGTTCAATGCTTCATTATAATTTATTACACACTGACCTAATTATCAACTGTTTCCTACACTTTTAACCCCCCACCCCCACCCCCACCCCTTCCCTCTCCCTTTCCTTCTTTGAGCTATTTTCACAAAGGCAAAATCTTAAAAAAAAAATTTTTGCTTGTTAATTTTTCTAAAATATTTTAAACTTTCCATTACACTTAAACAAGGGAAATTATGTAGAGAGTTTAAAATGAACCTATGAGCCCAAAAGATAATTTAAGCAATTTAAAATTAAGCTAGACTGAAATTTCATATTTCTTTCTGATCTTTTTTATGAGTTAATCAAACGATTACTTTGAATAAATCATGTTAATTTAATGTTTGTTAAAACTGAAAGGATTATACTGGTTTTGTTTTTATTGGACTTGAGCAATGTAGATTTACAGTTTGCAATATTTGCACATAATTGACATAAATCATTATCACCAATAAGTATCCTACTATAATTTTTTGCTGTCTGCTAAAATAAGATGTTAAGAAAGTAATCACTTGTATAATAATGCAGCATTGCTAGACAGAGCCTGGGCAAGAGTTCATAGAAGTCATTTGGCATAGCTTTCCTGGAGTAGGGTGCTCATTTCTGTCTCTGTCTATATAACACGGGGAACTGGTTCATACATACTGACCTCTGAAGTTTATGGTCAGAACAACACAAATCACTGGCTAACTCCTACATACTGTACAATGTACCAGCTCACAGAACAGGGGAAACATCTGATACAAATCTCTTACTTAAACCCTGGTCCTATAGACAAGAATTATTTACCCATATTTTATTCTATCACCAAAGTTAACTAAATTGATTCTATAAATTGGGTAACAATTAGATTATGTTACTAAATTACAGCTCTTATTCAAGGCCCTCTTCCTGAGAAATTATCAACAGCACAACTGCAATGTCTGCATTAATTTAATAAATTTTATAAATACATGTACTTGAAATTATTTTTACATCTGGTTTATTCATGTACACTTTATCAGGTCTAGTCAAAGTTATATGTTCTAGCTATATACAAATGTACTTAAAATTCCCAAACTTCTCTAATCAAAATGTTTTTGTGGACTGCAGTTAGTGGGTGAAAGGGTTTTGGCATAATATTCCCAAAGTTGATTAACAGGAAAGATTTCTAAAAATTACATGAACAGCAGAGTCTACCAATTTCAACTGAATGTCAGTCTCCCAAGTTTGTATACAACTTAATGAAATTAATTAACCGGTATAATAATTATTTAGAGGTAGTACAGGATATTAAAGAGTTCCCTGTTTAATGATAACTGCCTTAACTATTTATATGAATTAATCAAAACAGTAACACAAATCTTTATTCTTATATAAATAAAGCATTATGAATGTCTACAGACCAATCAACACCCAATGTCATAAGGATTAAGAGAACTCCCATGCAAACACACACACCAGTCAAAGAGTTTATAGGCAAAACATGTGCACACATTGGAAAAAATAATCAGTATTTGATGGAAAATAAAACAAATTTTGGAGAGAAAATAGAATAGGAGGGGAGAACACTGATTAGTTACCAGAGATGAAGAGATGCTTCCTTAACACAGAGCAGCCATAATGTTCGGAGGAACAGATTGACAACACATGGTTCAGATATTGGGGTTCTCAGGGGGAAACTCTACATCTATTATGTATCTGATTGACATAAATATGCATACTGGGGCTCACAGGGGAGTATCTATGATGTGTAAAGTATATATCCATTGGAATAACAAGATATAGGTTCTGAATGAATGCTAAACTATGTTGCCAAAATAATGGAAACATTCAAGGATTATACACATTTGAAGAAACAAAATTGCTCTGAGTTCAACTCCTTTTTTTTTTTTTACAACAGATTAACCAGTTCTCTGAACTGTAAATGAATAATTACATTTAAATCAAGTAATACATTCACATGTATCTATGAAAATCCAAATATTACACATCCAAATTAAAATTTTTAAAAATCATTTTGAAGGTTAACTTAAATTTGAAAAAAAATATCAGAGCCCTGGTAGACTTCTATTTGAATTTCTGATTAATCCTTGGGGAATAATTAAATAATTTCAGATGCAGCAGCAGTTTTTTCCCTACTTAATCATTATTTTATTGCTGTAACATAAACCACCACTTCTGCCTTCATCTGATCTCATCCCCCTGCTGAGTACAAAACTGGCTCAAGTACAATATTCCCTGGGGGCAGTGATATTGGCTGGCCCCTATAAACATAATTCATCATTGGTGCTCATTAGTAGGTGATTTATTGTGTGGAGATAACACCTGAAAAATTACCTTATCCCATAAAACAGCACCACCAATCTATCCCTTCAGAATCTTTCTCTCTCACTTGCTTGCCCTTTCTAAATAATCGTCAATTAATAGATTTCTTGCCTCCATACAATTTATGTACATAGATTGCATCAAGTAAAAAAAAATCTACTGACCATAAATTAAATGTATTCACATTATATTATTAATATATTTTGAAGACCACCTCAAAGTGCATAAATATTTTGAAAGAAAAAAAACTGCTTGCATGGTTTTAAATACCATATCCGCAAACTACCAACTCTCCATAGATCAGAATTAGGTCTATATATCATTGTTTTATATAACACATGATTTAAACACAATAATAACCTCTGCCTCTTTCTATATACAAGTACCTTGCCCATCCCATCCCCATAGATCCTGTTAGTTATATTAATAAAGGTAGAATGAAGATGAATTAAAACATAGAAAGTTTCAAAAATTTTAAAACAGTACCAGAGGAAAACAAATAATTTAGTAAATAATGTTTAAAAAGGAGAGATATTAAAAGAAAGACTCGAGGAACATATCAATTTTTTTCTTGGATAATTTCTTTCATCAGTCTCTTTCTGAATAAAGAGTTTTTTTCCCAACACAAAAAATTAAAACCAAAATTTAAATAAGGGAAACAACTCAAACTGGATTGGTATCAATCATTTTTTAAAGCTTCACTTGCTTCTTTAAAATTTTCACTAATATGTTCCTGAATCCCCACAATGGAAATATCAAGATTAGATAGAGTATAACATCAGAATATTAATTTCAATAACAATAAACTTAAACAAACTTCATTTACCCTGACTTCTTAAAATCTTATACCATAGGAATTCTGTAAAAAGTAAGATTTAATTATTATTTATTATAAATCATATTTGTCAACCTTTAAAGTATCCACTTCCCAAAGTGCAGTATGATAACTGTTAGTCTACATGTCTTTCTCAATTTTTTAATTGTGGACTGATTATCCAATCTACATACAGACTTTCTTTTGGCTGCAGTGCATTATTTTAGAATTATTTTAACCAAAATATATTTTTGTTTTGTTATACATGTAGTCTCAATTTGCTTGTTTTCTGCCCCCTTTTTTTTGCTCATCTCATTTGGTTATTATTTTTGAGTCTTTATTTTTGTAAACATCAATTTGAAAGATGTTTCATTAACAATACCGTTAGTATTAATTACACATATAGCTAAGAAAAAGAAGAAATTTGAAATATTATAGACATTTTTACAATAGTTTTATTAAAAGCAACAATCACATTACATAAAATGGTGAAAAACATGACATGTAACAGTTGTTAGCTAAAGGGGTGGGTTATAACAAATTTCTGTAAACCTTAGAGATGAAATGTCATAGTTTTAACAGCACATGCAGATAATATAAACATTTTCCTTTTGTTTTTTTTTTTTAAATCCATAATATATTGGAAAACATATTGCACTGTTGTTTATGAGTATTATTGCACTTAAAACATAGAACAAAAAAAATTATTGCACTTTTTTCGTTGTATAATACTCAACCATATCACTTTTAAATCACTGACATCAATAAATGGAAGTAATGCATGATAAACATGAAAACTGATTGCTCATCCTAAAAAATAACCTAGGAATAAAAATGAATACTTGGAATCTAAGTATCACTGCAAATCACTCTTCTCTACAAGTCTTTCTCATTTCTTTCTTTAACAGACCCAAATTAAGTAAAAGTCACCAAACATGATGAACATGCCATAGTTATTTTATGAAAACTATGAAATGGACTTTCCCTTGACAGTTTCTTTCCCAAGAAAATTAAAACAGAAAAGAAATCCACGCAAGTCAATCATTAGTTTGTCAATGTCTCCAGACAATCCATTGGGTGATATCATATTAAAAATAGTTATCTTACAAAACTGAAAAATTGAAAAAAGTTAAAAGAAACTCTATACAGGAGAGCCAGAATTGTTCTTTGTCGAATCTCTTAAACCTGCCTCTTTTGAGAGACTGTCCATACATCTGTGGTAATATTCTCAGTAATTACATATACATAACATGCCTCTGAGTATTGGTTGTGCCAAAGCTGTATACATGTGCAGTGTGCAGAAAGATCACAAAATAATAAAAATATCTACTGTGTTGATTCAAGACAATACATACAGTGTATATATAGGTTCTGTGTTCTCAATGCTATACAAACATATTTTAGCACTATCTTTAGTTCATCTACAGTATAATACATCTAGGCAGTGGTAAAATATATATATCTATATAAATTTTTGAAGCGCTTTCAAATGCATCAAGCTCTGTGCAGTTCTATAAATAACACTGGTGTCTCTAACCATTTTTTTCTGTCTGATCCATGTCATATTTACAATAGAGAAGATCCAATTGCTAGTGTATTTTAAGCCAGGTGCTTGTTTTTAAGCCAGGTGCTTGATGGTCTGACTGGCAGGTGTCCTCAGCCAGGCCACTGCCTCCTCCTCTCCTGTGTCCTCAGCTCTCACTGCCTCCTCAATCTGTTTATCAGGTGCCCCCTTCACCGACTCCTTGACAACTTTCTCCTTTTTAGCAGTCTGTTTACTCTGGGAAGGGCTGGGTGTGGTTTTGGTTGGGGAGGGATCAGAGGACTCGGTCAGAACACTGTCCCTGGAGGCAGATTTCTCCTTCAAGGACTGCTTGGTTTTAGGGAGATAGGAGGTGTAGGATACAGAGACATCCTTCTTTTTGTGGACAGAGGTGCTGGGTTTAATGGGAGGGAGGCCTGTGAGGATGGCAGAGGCACTTCTGGGTTTGAGGCGGGAGGGGGAGTCAGTTGTGGAGCCACTCCTGGATTTTATCATAGACTGAGTCACAGAGGAGCTCCGGGAAGGGAGAAGGCTGTAGGAGACAGACGGGGTTCTAGACTTGTACCCACTCTCAGCGAGGGAGACAGACCCAGACCTTACAGACAGTGTATCAAACAAAGTCTTGGCCCTGGAGGGGCTCCGTGTGGTGGCCCTGGAGGGGCTACTAGTGACAGAGGGAGAGGGACTGGTGTAGGTGAAGCGGGAGAGACCAGATGTAGAGAATCGGTCTGGGGTCCACCCTCTGTACTCACTATTCCTATCACACTCACTTCTGGCTGAAATGTAATCTGTGGGTACAGAGTACTTTCTACTTGCCCCTATGTTAGGTCCTACAGAATATGATGTCCTTTCTCTGGAGTACGAAGTGTTATACAACCTTGAGGAGGAACCTACACTGTCATACCTACCAGGGGAACCAGTATACAGTCTCGAGCCTTTACCTGTGCTGTCGTACCTGCTGGGGGAGGTGTAGTCTCGAGACAATGATCGACCTCTTCTCAGAGTGTCTGAGTATGAGGACTCTCTGTAGCTGGAGGTGTAATTTGATGATCTTGTCAGACTGGAGCTTGGTTTGGTAGTGATGGAGTGAGAGTACCGATCATGATAGATTGCTTTACCAATCAGAGACAGGGAGCCACTGCGATAATCCCTGGAATAGGGAGTGGTGGTCAGTGAAGACTGCCTAGCACGAGAAGAAGTGTACAGATCATAGGTCTGTCTACTGGGCAGACCACTGGTTCTAGTCCTCAGGGACTCCCTTCCTCCCCAGGAGTGGGGGCGAGGGAAGTAGTACCTCCTCTCTGGAGGTTTATACCTGGGGGTCCTAACACTGGACAATTTGTACGGGCTGGTGTAAGACTCAGTGGTCACTTGTCTGTACTTCAACCTATCTGGCACCAAGTGGCGCTTCTTGTAAGACAAATCTGTGTGGTGTGAGACACCACGTCTGCTTGACAAATAAGTGTCATCTGTTGAAATATATGGTTTCCTTGGTACTTCTGTGACCTTGGATTTGGTGTCAAGGACAGAGGTCAAGGTTGGTGTGTGGTGAATATGTGTGGAGACAGGCATGCGAGAGTCAAGAGAGAGTTTTCTGGGAGAGGTGGGTCTTCCCAGAGAGGTGGAGAAATCTCTGAGATGCGACACTGGTTTCTGTATAGGGTGAATTGTCTCTAGTGACTTAAACTTCTCCAGGGCTTTTCCAAAGTCTACCTTTTTCTCCAGTCCTTGAATCTTTGGTTTTGATGGTAGTGTTTTCTCAATGAGAAATTTATCCCTCCTTGACCTAGGACTGAGGGGAGGTGTTTTACTGTCCAGTGACAATTCAGCCAAGAATTTCTCCTTCACAGATTTAGTGTCTGTCAAGGCTTTGATAGCATTCTGTTTATACCTCTGAACCTTCTCTTCAAACTCCTTGCGTCTGTTGTCTATTCTCTTCAGCTCCGCCAGGAACAGGTCCTTCTTGGACCTTGTAGCTGAGGACATTTGGTTAGTGCTAACTACAGGTGAAACTAGCTTACTATTGAGGTCGGTTAAAGCACTACCAGTACTACCTGTGACGAGGTATAACTCACTTGGTTTGCGATAGACTGGGATGTGGGGTGAGGGTGAGGACAGTCCGGAGGGGTACTCGGCACGGACACGGAACAGATAATCCTGGTGTCTCTGTAGGTTGGAGATGCGGTAGGAGGTTCCTCTGACATTGCGGGCCACTGGTTTCCAGTCGTATCTCGGTGGTGTCTGGGCCTCAATCAGGAAGGCCAGTGGTTCTTCATCATAACTGTGAGCTGGCACATCAACCAATGTCCATCTGAGGTCTACATAGTCTTCCTTTACAGCCACTAATTTGGGTGTGCCAATTGGAGTGCTGGGTAACACTGCAAAAGGTAGTGTATTATTTAGTTAATAAAATGAATATTAAATTAGATCTGCAAACTGGAAAAGGACCCCTCTGCAAAAATTAAATGGCAAATTTCAGGTAGAGTATGACTGTCTTTTGAAATTATTTTTTTCTAAATTTACAGGTTTCTATCTTTCTATGTCTTACCTGGCCTCCTGTAGAGAGCTATAGGTTTGGTGTAACTTCCTGGGCCCTCCTCTGACACGCCTCTCACTCTGAACTCGTAGTCCTGCCTGGGTTTGAGCCCTGTGACCCTGTAACTGGTGTCTGCTATGTCATGGGCCACTGGTCGCCAGTCGTGAGATGGAAGCTCACGCAGCTCCAGACGATAACGCCGAGGTAAGATGATGGGGTCCTCCACATTTCCTTTAGGCAGTGGTAGCCATGACAGCCTCACAGCATCAGGTTCTACGTCATATAGCTGAGGACGAGGCACTGGGAAACGAGAGGGCACTACAGGAAAGAAACAAAGGTCTTAGGAGAGGAAAAATGGTTAACTATCAATAATTTACATGAAAAAAACAATGAATATCTATGAACTCAATGGTCAATGATTCACAGAAAATAAATGAAGAATTACAACTAATGATTTACAAGGTATATCTTATATTAACAGTGAACTAATATTGAAAAATGACTATTTTCATTTTAGAAATGGATATCTAGGACTCAGCCTCAGACTTACATCTAAACCTGTTGAATGAGATAGGGTAGGTTGGTTCACTCAACACCTTCTCTGCCTCAGCTCTAATCCTGAACAAGTGATCTTGGTCGAACGGTAAGCCTTTCACCTGGTAGGTGGTGTCCCTGATTCCAGTGGCCAGGCGGGTCCAGTTCCTCTGTCCGGGCTCCCAGCGTTCTATCTGGTAGGTGATGGGACCCTTACTGAACGGTGACACAGACCTGGGCCTCCACTTCAGACGGAGGGAGTGACTTGTATCATCTATGTCTGTGATCTCGGGGATGTCAACAGGAGATGTCCAACCTACAAAAGATATACCTCATCCATTACCCAGCTGTTACTGTAATGTATAACATTATCGACTTAAAGATAAAAAACACTGATTTTTGTAAAATCTGTTGTCTTTTTCTCTTGTATACTTCATGTACTTCTTTGCCTCATGCTCAACAATGCAAAGATTACTTTTAAATTTATTTACATGATTAACCAACATTCAAAATTCCATTATATCCAGAACATTTAAACTTTCAACACCATTTAACCTACTTTTAATTCCCAGCATTTTGATTGGCAGGGTGGGTCTACTGAGGCCAAACTCATTCTCTGCCTGTACTCTGAAGCTGTAGTCTTTGTCATTTCTCAGGTTGGTGATGTGGTAGAATGGGTGTGGTATCCTCTTGACCAGTGGTCTCCAGGTGGTGCTGGGGGGCTCCTGGACGTAGATCGTGTACGTGACGGGACTGCTGTCAGCCAGGTACAGAGGCACATCGGCTGGTCTCCATGACAACCAGAATGAGCCAGATGGACCGATGTCATAAATTAATGATTCTTCTTGGGGCATTGATGGAGCCACTTTGAATAAAATGAAGAATGAAGCTTACATAACTGATTAATAAAGAGAAAAGATATACAACTAGAAATACATGTAAGATAACAGGATGTCCATTTATTTACGTATATTCACAGCAATACTTTTCCCATTACCTTTCTTAAAAAAATTCATTTATTTCAAATTTCAAACTACTGAATTCATTAAATATGAAAATATTGGATGATTTATATATAGAAAAAGTATGTATTACCAGCTCGTTTCCTGACACAGACTTCTGGTGTGGGATCACTGATGCCCATGTCATTTTCTGCCCGTACCCTGAATCTGTAATCCTTGTCTGGATTCAGGTGGGTGACGTGGAAATCCGTGTGTGGGATTCCCTTGGCCAGAGTCATCCAATCAGAGCGAGGCAGTTCCTGGACCTCCAGGCGATATGTGACTGGTGAGTAGTCCGTGATGCGTGATGGCAGCTCTACAGATCTCCATTGTAACTTCAGTGAGTTTGGCTGCAGCTCAAACACATAGGGTTGTTCCTGTGGCATTCTTGGTGGACCTTAAAAGTTTTAAACATAATTTCATGAACAGAACTTTTTGCCACAACGTGTCTGTGCATTTTTAAATTGTAAAATCATTTTAAAATTTGAAAGTTTATGATTTATTCCAATCTTTTGGGTAGCCTTTTTTCAAAAGTAAAAAGGAAAAGTTTTCTATGGAAATCTAAGTATCTTATTCTTCCAAATAAATCCGAAATTTTTGTAGTTTTTGATTTTCATTAGTGAACTTACTGGCTCTTCTTGGCAGATAGACGGGCATGCATGGTTCTGTCATGATGTTATCGGCCTCGGCCCTGATCCTGAACAAGTAGTCCCTGTCTGGTCGTAGATTGGTCACGTGGTAGCTTGTCTTGGGGACGTTGGACACGTAGGTCCTCCAGTGACCTCGTTCTGGGGGGTCCTGGATCTCGATGCGGTAGGTGACCATGGGCATGTGACTGATGTTTCCAGGTAGAGTGGCTGGCTGCCAGGAGAGGACCACGGAGTCAGGGTTAAGGTTGGTCAGGATTGGCTCATACCGCGGGAAGACTGGTACTGGAAGGGGGGAATTAGAAATCAGTCATTATGTCATTAGGTTTCTGACAATAATAGGTGAATTTTTGCATAATGTTAATGAAAGGAAAACAAATTAGCTTTAAATCATAATGACCTCCCCCTAACTTCAACTGAACTCTTGCTATAAAAAATTTAATTAATTTAAATTTTCTTGTATAACTTATGCCCTCTATATATATTTTGTTTAAGTATAAAAACCTGGTTTCCTGTAGATTGTTGCAGGAAGTGAAGGTTCACTGCTTCCGAAATCTGTGTGTGCTTTGATGCGGAACTGGTACTCCTTCTCTGGTCGTAAACCCTTCACCAGGTAGGTAGTGTCTTGTACGTTCCTGGCGACTGGCTCCCAGTTAGCACTAGGTAGAGTTCTCATCTCTATTGCGTACCGGATTGGTTGTTTGTGACGAGCAAAATAAGGTAACTCAGCAGGTCTCCAGGTCAACTGAACTGAGTCTTTGCCTCTCTCTACTACTCTGGGCTCCTGTGAGAACAGCCTTGGTCGTACTGAAGAAAATAAAAATGATAAATTCAAAGATAACTTTGTGAAATACAGATTTATAATCATTATCAAGTTAAATGTCACTGAAAATTTGAGTGCATAATTCTGTAAAAAAAAATTTCCAGTTTTGAAGTTAAATACATGTATTACTTTTATACAAAAGCTTCTGACATTATTTTTTTTTTTCAAATCCAAAACTGTAGACTCTTGTCTTGAATACCTGGCAGTGAAGTAAGAGTCACATAAGGAAGTGGTTCCATGTCATACGTTGGTGTTCTAGGTGTGACCCTAAACAGATAGTCCTTATTTGGTCTTAAGCCTGTCACATGATACTGAGTGTCGGGAACTCCCGTAGCGATTGGTCTCCACTCACGAGAAGGTGGTTCCTGCACGTCAATTCTGTATGATATTGGCAACGTAGAGTCAATGTAAGGTCGTTGCCAGGACAATCTCAAAGAGTCAGGCTCAAGGTCAAAAATATCTGGCATTCTGGGTAGAACAGATCTGGGGGCTAAAATAAGGGAAAAAGTTTAAATATTCTACTTATAATTAAAAGAAATCCCTTAAAAATTCTTTGATTAATATTTACACTACTTTTGCATGATTTTTTTGTTGATAGACAATCAGTAAAGTACCTGGGAGTGCTGTGAGAGACACAGGAGGCAGAGGTTGTAATGGTCCCAGGCTTGTCTCTGGGATAATTCTAAATGTGTAGTCCCTGCTGGGTCCCAGACCCCGGATCCTGTAACTGGTGTCTGTGATTCCAGAGGCTAGGGGCCGCCAGTCCAGACTCTGAGGGGCCTGCATCTGGATCTGGTATCTTAGGGGCCGCTTAGTGTCAACCACTGGTGGTTTCCAGGTGAGCTTCAGGGCATCTGACTCATCATACTGAAGTCTGGGCATGTCTGGCAGTCCTCTGCTGGGGACTGGAAATTAACAGAAAACTATAGATATTATCCAGAAATATCCCTAAATCAAATATATGTACAAGTTCAATAAAGGAAAAAAAGACCTCTATTCACAAACATGAGAGAAAAAAGCTTTTCATGCTGATTTTTATATTGAGCTCAGACTTAAAAGTGTTTTTAGAAAATGTGAGTACAATGGATATGATGAAATATTAACATAACAGAATCTACTTAAAAAAACACTTAAGGAATAAAGATACTGAGGAAGATTGTAAAATAAGTATTGTGTACAAAATATACCTGACACTGGTCTCCTGTAGGAGACAGGCAGAGCATACGAGGGTGGCGTCACTCCGTAGGGAGTTATGGCCCTTACTCTGAAGCGGTAGTCTCTGTCTGGGAGGAGGTCAGTTACGCGGTACCTCGTGGTGGGTAGACCAGACACCACAGGTCGCCACTCGTCTAGTGGTGGCTCATTCATCTCCACCATGTACAGCAGTGGTTCCTCATCACTGTGGTATGGTGGTATCTCCACGCGGTTCCAGGCTAAGCGGACCCCCTCAAAGTCTGGCTCTGTGTCTTCTAGTTCCAGTCTGTCTATGGGGATTCTGGTTGTAGCTATTTAATATAATTTGTAAAATGCAAGTTTAATCAGGGTAGAGTATAGCAAAGGTAACTTCTGCATGAATAAAACAAATCGATGTCATGACAATATTACTTCAGAAGACTTAGTAGTACATGAATATCACCAATGACAATTTCTTTTATAGAATACACTTCCCAATGTATGAAATACTTAGAATATAAAGTTCATTTAAAAAAAATATTTTAAGGAAAATTTGAATAAGTTTTGGACATGAGTAACATTTACCTAAAGTTCTGTATAGAGAAGTTGAGGGGGATGGTTCACCATAAGCTCCACCCATGGGCCTTGTCTTAACCCTAAACCTGTAGTCCTGTCCGGGAGTCAGTCCCCTCACTGTGTAGTTAAGGTCAGGGATGTCCCTAGCAATCGGTCGCCAGTCGTGTTTTGGTGGTTCCTGCATCTCTAACATGTACAGAAGAGGCTCGTCTGATGCTGAGAATGATGGGATATCTACCTTCTGCCAGGCCACTCGGACCGAATCTGATTCCATGTCAACAATGGTAGGTCTGCTGACTGGAACACCAGGGAAATCTGTTTGGAAAAAATGTAAAGTTCAATAATAATATATAAAATAACAAGAGGCCCACGGGCCTTATAGGTCACCTGAGTATTGTGTAACAACTTTCAAACAATTAAATTTGGTTCATGTTTAAACCAGAGGCCATGAAATTCACAATTCACAATTTTGAAAGAGGCACCATTGCTTATCATAATTAAAAAACTTAGCATGCTTACTCTACTTACTCAATACCCAGAGGTAGATCTGAGTTACAAACAGAAAATGTTCTTCCACTTTATAACTAGTTGTGCACCTCACCCCAAAAGAACCACTGACCATGGGGCCACATATTTCAAAATTTTGCAAATTTTATCAAAAATGGTTGATTAATACCAAAGAGCAGATTTCAAAGCATTAATTTATTTTCAGACTATGTAACTCCCACCCCCACCCCCCCTTGACCCAGGGGGGGGGGCATAAAAAATAAACATTTTGCTACATGCACCTTTCTTCTTTCTAAATATATATACTTGGATCATTGGTATAAAACCCAGAAGCAAAGGAAAATATTTTCAAAGAATTAATGTATTTTTACTGAATAATCAAAAGAGCCCCGGCCCTAACACCTGAACCCCTGACTCTGGGGCCATAAAATTCACAATTTTGGAAAAGGCACTCTTGCTTATCATAACTATGTGCTTAGTTTATTTAATACTCAGAAGCAGAGAAGAAGATTTTAAAAGAATAAATGCATTTTCACTACATAATCAATAGAGCCCCGCCCTAACACCAGAACCCCTGACCCTGGGGCCATCAAATTCACAAATCTGGAAGAGGCACTCTTGCTCATCATTACTATGTACTTAGTTAGTTTATTTAATACCCAGAAGCAGAGAAGAAGATTTTCAAAGAAATAATGCGTTTTCACTATATAATCTATATAGCCCCGCCCTAGCACTAGAACCCCCGATCCTGGGGCCTTGAATTTCACAATTTTGGTAGAGGACTCAATGCTCATTACATTCATGCTAACAGTTTGCCTGCTTAAAGTCCAGGAGTAAAGAAGAAGATTTTTAAAGATTGCAATAATTTTAGTGGTCTTGGCCCCACCTCTCAGGCCCCAGGGGGGCGGGGACCATGAAATTCAAAATTTTTGTTCCCCTTTACCCATAGATGCTGCATACCAAATTTGGTTGAAATTGGTTCAGTGGTTTCAGAGAAGAAGCTGAAAATGGTCAAATGTTAACACACGACGCACGATGATGGATGAAAACAGATAGCAATAGGTCACCTGAGTTACTCAGGTGACCTAAAAATTAAAATAACAAGATTCTCAATCAAATAGTCATTGCAGTAATTGTACTTACGAGTAGCTCTTGGGATCCAAAGTGGTTCAGAAGATTCACTCTGTCCGTACTTGTTTTCTGCCCGGACGCGGATGTTGTAGTCACGGTCAGACTTGAGCTCTGGGAGGTAGTAGCTGGTGTCCCTGATGCGATGTGCTACAGGGATCCAGTCCTTGGCCGGTAACTCCTGGGCCTCCAGGCGGTAGGAAATTGGAGCCACCTTCTTGGCAGCCACTGGAGCCACTGCTGGTTTCCAGGCAAGCCGAACGGTTTCCTGGCCCATTTCTGTCACAAAAGGCTTAGAGGAGGGCAACTTTGGTGGCACTGTTATTTAAAAAACAATGTTCTTAATTCTTTAATTCCCCAATAGATCTGCTTCAAAAAATTATTACAATTGATTCTTTTTCACCTGCATTGACAAGTTTGAATTCTGTCTGTCTTTGATTTGCCAAGTAGGCATCTGAACAGTTATATAATTTTACTTTACCTCTCGATTCATGTGGTTTCACATGGAATTTCTCAGCTATTTCTTCCTCCACTGTAAAAATAACAGACATGTATGGTCATAACCAAAACAATCAAGCATCATCAAGATTCTCAACACTTAATCTTTGATATTCTTTAAATTTAATACCTGGTTTGGGTCTTGACAACATTACAGGTTGTGTGGAGTCACTGGTTCCAAACTGATTTTCAGCATGAACTCTGAAGGCATACTCTGTGTTGGGCCGTAAATTTTTCACCATGTGAGTGTTTCCGTGGATACCTGTGGCCACCTTGTGCCAGTCAAACCCTGGCAATTCACGAGCCTCGATGATGTATTTAACATTTTTGCCCTCTGGTGGCAGAGTGGATGTGTATGCTGGTAACCATGACAACCTGACTGATTCTTCTCGGATGTCTGTCAGCGATGGTTTGTCATAAGGCAGAGTTGGAACAGCTAGGAAAATAAAGTAATTTTACAAATTCTTCATTCAATGCATTATTCTTCATTAATTTTAGTGAATAATTTTGATATTAAACATGACTCAAAACCCAAGTTTTCCTGAATAACAAGTTACTGGCACAGAGGTTAAACTTTTATTTAAAACAAACTTTGTTTACCTTCATGATCTGACTTGGTGGAATCTCGAGAGAAACGTCTGGCAAAGGGAGAGTACTCTCCATCCACTGATGAGTCCTTCTTCATCTTTGTACCTGAAATGAGTGCAATGTGAATGTTTAAAAAAACAGCAAGTAGCTTTACAATATTTCATTTGAAGGATTTTTTGTTTATATCCTATGATTACTTTGTTTTCATAGACATTTACTGTTTTGTAAATATGGGATGATAGATATCTGCAGATATCTCTGTTCTTACTTGGTAGTTCCAGTGATGCAGTACAGCTGGTTTCTCCAGCCGGATTATTGATTTTACATGTATACTGTCCAGTATCCGAATCCATCACATCTCGTATTGTCAGCGTACAGTTACCCCCGTCTCGATTTATCCAGTAGTGAGAGCCAGGAGTCAGGGGTTTGTTATCCTTATACCTAGAGAAAATCAAAACAAAGTCAGTTATAGTGCTCTGTTTAACTAAAAGCTTTATCACTATCAATGTACCATATTTGCTTTAAAGAACAAAGGTAAAAGTTTAGTTACCATGTGACATTGGGTTCTGGTATGCCCATAACTTTACACTCAAACTTGGCAGATTTAGATTTTCCATCCGCTGCATAAATGTTTTCCATTCTCTTAATAAAGGTGGGGGCACAGCCATATTTGGCATCAAAATCTTTTTGCCTGAAACTTTAAAGAGAGAAAGATAGTGTACTATGACCATAATTTAACAAGAGGCCCATGGGCCACATCGCTCACCTGAGCACTGTGGCTTGGAAAAGGTAGAAAATTGGTTTATTATTGAAAAGTTTTAATCCAAAAGAAGTCCCATGACCAATCATGGCTTTACTATTCTTGAGAAGTTGATTTTTAAAGAATTTTTCTATATATTTCTATGTAAAACTTTGGTCGGCCATTGTGGCCCCGCCCTACCCCTGGGGGTCATGATTTGAACAAACTTGAATCTACACTACCTGAGGATGCTTCCATATAAATATGACCAATCTTGGCTTTGTATTTCTTGAGAAGAAGATTTTTCAAGAATTTTCCTATATATTTCTATGTAAAACTTTGGTCAGCCATTGTGGCCCCGCCCTACCCTCGGGGGTCATGATTTGAACAAACTTGAATCTACACTACCTGGGGATGCTTCCATATAAATATAATGAATTATGGCTTTGCTATTCTTGAGAAGAAGATTTTAAAAAATTTTCCCATATATTTCTATGTAAAACTTTGGTCGGCCATTTTGGTCCCGCCCTACCCCCAGGGGTCATGATTTGAACAAACTTGAATCTACACTACCTAGGGATGTTTCCACATAAATATGACCAAACATGGCTTTGTTATTCTAGAGAAGAAGATTTTTAAAGAATTTTCCCATATATTTCTATGTAAAACTTTGGTTGGCAATTGTGGCCCTGCCCTACCCCCGGGGGTCATGATTTGAACAAACTTGAATCTACACTATCTGAGGATGCTTCCATATAAATATGACCAATCATGGCTTTGTTATCTTGAGAAGAAGATTTTTCAAGAATTTTCCTATATATTTCTATGTAAAACTTTGATCGGCCATTGTGGCCCCGCCCTATCCCCAGGGGTCAAGATTTGAACAAACTTGAATCTACACTACCTGAGGATAATTCCACATGAGTTTCATCTTTCCTAGCCCAGTGGTTCTTGAGAAGAAGATTTTTAAAGATTTTTCCTATATATTCCTATTTAAAACTTTGATCGGCCATTTTGGCCCCACCCTACCCCCGGGGGTCATGATTTGAACAAACTTGAATCTACACTACCTGAGGATAATTTCACATGAGATTCATCTTTCCTAGCCCAGTGGTTCTTGAGAAGAAGATTTTTAAAGATTTTTCCTATATATTCCTATTTAAAACTTTGATCGGCCATTTTGGCCCCACCCTACCACCGTGGGTCATGATTTGAACAAATTTGAATCTACACTACCTGAGGATGATTCCACATGAGTTTCATCTTTCCTGGCCCAGTGGTTCTTAAGAAGAAGATTTTTTAAAAATGCCAATAATTTTTCACTAATTCATAATTATCTCCCCTTAGAAATGGGCGTGGCCCTTCATTTGAACAAACTTGAATCCCCTTCACCCAAGGATGCTTTGTGGCAAGTTTGGTTGAAATTGGCCCACCGGTTCTTGAGAAGAAGTCGAAAATGTGAAAAGTTTACGGACAGACAGACGGACAGCTAGACAGACAGACAGACAGACGCCGGACAAAATGTGATCAGAAAAGCTCACTTGAGCCTTCGGCTTAGGTGAGCTAAAAACTTGACTTAAAATGACAGAATTGCACTCCACAACCTTCTCCAAAGATACATGTAGGTAACACTGTATCACATGTTAATTTCCTTGAAAAAGGCATTGCTCTCATTAATCATGTAAATTTTATAGACGTGCAGAGAAATCAGACATTTGAAAAGTTTTTAACTGAGTTACTTTTCTTACCTTGGTTGATCCTCTTTGAATTCCATTGGAGCACGTTTGACAGTCAGTTTACTGCTGCAGTACACCTCACCCTCAGAGTTCACGGCCTTACATGTGATTTTGCCCTCATCCTCCTGTCGAAGGTCATTCAAGGTCAGTTTGTAGGTGTCTGCTTCCTGGCTCATCTGAAACCTTCTGTGAGTTTCCTGTAAAGGACAAAAGCAACAAGTCTTCAGACCCATAGAGAGAACTGTACAGGCATGAAAAATACATATTTTGGTTTGACTTCAAGAGCAGATATAAACCTGTGACAATAAAGTCCAGTGATTTACAGTAATTGGTTTGTAGTTATACACATATGCCGCAGATATTTGTATGTAGATATACAAATCTGACTTAAAATACAGGTTTGTGAATGTACTGGCATGAGGCTTACAGATATTAGGAAGTTGGACAGTCCTAGATATTGTTTTGTAGTTGACTACAGACTTACAAATGTCAGTGTGTGGTTGTATATTGACTTACAGATATTGGTTTGTGGTTGTACAGCCAGGAGACTTTAGGTTTTGGTTCACCTACTGCCACCACCTCATACACCATCTGCCCCCCAGCTGTTGATGTGACATCATCTATGGAACAGAAAATCACTTTTTGTAATAATATTGAACAAAGTAATAGACACACAAATTAAAGCTGAGATCTGAGTACTAGTGTTTTTATCTGTATAATATAAAAGCATTAGCTGGTTGAAATCAGGGGCGTCGGCAAGTATTTGACATTGGGGAGGCGAACTAGATTACTAGATTGAAAAGGGGGGGGGGGGGGGGTTAACTGACGTGTTTTTACTTAAATTCAAATTTCTACCAGTATATTGATATATTTTCCCATTCTGTCAATGTTTCAAAGACTCCACCTGATTAAAAAAACAAAATCGTTTAAATTTATATGATTTTATTTACGTCATGTCATAAGCACATATGAGAATCAAGTAGTTGAATAAATATTATTTTGAGATGCATATATACTTATCTTTAAAATAATCAATTAATAAGCACTAATATACACTACATAAATGAAATCTGTTCATTAAATAATACACAATGCGTCCAAAAATGAAGCTCCGTCCATCCCGTGCTGACACAAAGTCGTTAGCAACTGCCAAAATGTTCAACGCATCTGTAGCCTCCCTGTGCGTGTGCAGGATCATCAAATGATTCAGTCTTTCTTCTGAAGTGTTCGGCTAAGATTGTCTGTGTGACGTAGAATCTCGTATCCAAGGGACACTCCAAAGAGAAAGTCAAAACTTTGCATCTGAGTTTTTACGCCGATGATCCTGGAACGGGCTTCTGGATCCTTTGTGCACTCATAGCAGGTCTGCCATAAGGACTGAAGGACAGAGTAGTTTTCCAGAATGCTGTTCAAACTGGCAGCTCTAACAGTCCATCGAGTAGGGCATAGCACACGGAATCCCGGCGTATCAGGTGCCATCTCACGCTTTAGCAGTCCAATATGGTATCCCTCCTGGGCGAATACTTTACAAGTTTGGACATTTCAAACACAGTATCCAAGGAATCACGCATCACCTTTGATTTTTTCACTGTATCACCAACTGCCAAGTTGAGCGCATGTCCATAACAGTGCGTGTAGATAGCCCTAGTCTCTTTGCTGGTGATGGTAGCAGCCACACCCTTTTTGGCTCCGGACATATTGCTGGCTCCATCGTCGGAATCTTGATGTTTCCGGAATTTAGAAGTGGCATCCTTCCAATTACAGAATCCCGTGGAAATAAAACTGCCGTCGGCCTTGGAGTTGGAAATCTTGCCCTCTTTTGCAGCAACCATGCAGGTGAAACAGAAAGCCAGATCTTTTGCCTGAAAATAAGAACAAATTTAATTTCAATATATTATTTTTTTTTTTTAAATCGTTTTTTCTCTTTTAAAGTGTAATCATTGTACATTAACCAATGATTTCAACACAATCAATATATTAAAATTTGTATCCTTTCAAAATATCATTGAAAAGATAAAAAATATATATCTTTTCATGTTTAATGTACTTACTTCGTCATAACGTAACCATGCGTATTGTTTAAACCAAGTGGGGTTGAATGAACGCAGTTCTGGATTCTTCTTGCCGAAAGAACGCTTAGGAAATTTAAAATTAACAGGCTGATTAATACTTTTTAATCCGGCCATTTTTGAAATTGAAATGCAGAATAAGTGTAATAATATTAAAAAAAAAATCATCTCAAGTTGTTTTAGACAGTGATTTTAACTAATTTTCAGTTTTCCCCCTTTAATTAATATGCTCATACGTTGTAATATTTTCGATAATTGTTTAATGACTTGCAATCATGTTGAATCATCAAAGCTTCCAAACATCGATCGACCAATTAATTGGACAATGAACAATTTGTAGCAAACCCGCACTTACAGCAATCATAATGACTACCCTGTTAATTGTGTACACACGCCAGGTACAGGTATATATAGACATGTATGTATATCCCAATTTTGACGTCTGTGTAAACAATAGCTTGTACACACTTTGCCGCTCCATTGACCACAGAACATGCAGAATGCCGTTATACTCGCCGCTCCAATGAGCAGATTTCGCCGTTTAAAAAAATCATTTTAAAAAGAAAAACAATCTCACTATTTTTTTTTTTTTTTTTTGCAAAATTATTGGGGCGGCGACCGCCGCCCTTGCCGCCCCTTTGCCGACGCCCCTGGAAATACATAGTTTAAATATATACATCTAAATGCTTATTTAAATCTATATTTTCTTTGATACATGCTCACACCCATTTCAATCTTTGTCTAAACATACAAGGACATACACCAGCTACGTTGGACAGGACTTTAATGTTTTTGACTGCTATTCCAATACGATCATCTATTTACTTCTCCCTTACCTATTCTCTTTAAGAACTTGGGCAGCATGGGGACCCCTTTGATGCTCTGATCTAGCATCGTCAGCCCTGCACTACACACTGCCTCCCCTAGGGAGTTCTTCAGATGACAGGAGTAGGTCCCGGCGTCCTTGGTCAGTGACTTCCTGATGGACAGACTACAGATGTTCTCCTGCTGCTGGATCTGTACATTGTCTGAGGATTTGATCTCCAGGTCATTCAACAACCACCTACATGTACAAAAAAAAAGATCAAAACATTGTACTAACTTACTTCCAAGCAGTCACTAAGAATTGTTGATGCCACTTGAATTTCCTTACCTGACAACTGGCATTGGTTTTCCTGCTATCATACACTGGAAAGTGGTTGGCAAACCTTCTGTGATTGTCTGGTCGTAAAACTTTGTCAAAAACTTCGGAGCAATATCTGCATCTTCTAGTTGTTCTTCAAGAGCTGAAATACATTATTTTTATTTCAAACCAATCTGTATATTAAAGCTGTTATCCTATGTCAATTATTCAGAGATTACAACCCCTATAATTTATCAAAAGGATATGAATAATTTAATGATGAAGCATTCATTTCAGGAGAGGTCAACAAGAAGCAAATTTTGAATTGTGTCGAACCTATTCCCAGTTTCATATAAATCTGGATTGTCAAAACTTTGGAGGAAGGCAATGATAAGTATGCACCTTCTGGGCATCTTGTAGCTGCTAAATGATGACCTACCTATGACATTGAGGTAAGCCTCTGTCATGACCTCCCCGTACTTGTTGGGGGCCCAGCAGTGAGGGAATAATGACCTACCTATGACATTGAGGTAAGCCTCTGTCATGGCCTCCCCGTACTTGTTGGGGGCCCAGCAGTGAGGGAATGATGACCTACCTATGACATTGAGGTAAGCCTCTGTGATGGCCTCCCCGTACTTGTTGGGGGCCCAGCAGTGAGGGAATGATGACCTACCTATGACACTGAGGTAAGCCTCTGTCATGGCCTCCCCATAGTCCCATACTTGTTGGGGGCCCAGCAGTGAGGGAATGATGACCTACCTATGACATTGAGGTAAGCCTCTGTCATGGTTAAATGATGACCTACCTATGACATTGAGGTAAGCCTCTGTCATGGTTAAATGATGACCTACCTATGACATTGAGGTAAGCCTCTGTCATGGCCTCCCCATACTTGTTGTGAGCCCAGCAGGTGTAGCGACCTGTGTCCCCCATCTCCACATTTTGTACCAGCAGGGAGTAAATCTCATTGTTATAGTTCAGGAGTTTGTATCGATCACCAGATTGTACCACCTTACCATCCTTCATCCTGTAAATAAAAGATATATAGATCTTACAAACATCAAACTAATATCTCATGTTAAAGATTAAGCTACCATAAAGAATTACCAAACTTTCCAGGTGATTTCTGGTTTTGGGATGAGCCACAACTTACCAGGTAATTTCTGGTTAGGGTGAGCCACCATGCAGCATAACCAAACTTACCAGGTGATTTCTGGTTTGGGATGAGCCACAACTTACCAGGTGATTCTGGTTTGGGGTGAGCCACCATGCAGCATAACCAAACTTACCAGGTGATTTCTGGTTTGGGATGAGCCACAACTTACCAGGTGATTCTGGTTTGGGGTGAGCCACCATGCAGCATAACCAAACTTACCAGGTAATTTCTGGTTTGGGATGAGCCACAACTTACCAGGTGATTTCTGGTTTGGGGTGAGCCACCACGCGGCAGTCGAAACGAGCCAGTCTTCCTTCCTCCACCTGACAACTGTTCATCTGGAAGAAGTAGGCCGGAGTCTGGAACTCCTCCTCAGCCAAACCTTCCTTGTATTTCTTCAAACTGGAAGGCTGGGCTGTAATATAAAGGAAGTGCTAAATCTTTACGTCTCACAAAATATCCAGGCCAAAATGATTCATTGATATAAAATAATCAAAACTTCAGCATACTTCGTAGAATCATGCATTATCGAACATACATGCATTTCTACAACCTTAATTCTTGTGTTTTTAGAACAAAAACTTGTAACTGGACAGTGATTTGAAGATTTTTACATGGATTTCAGCACCATAAAAATAAAAGTGAGTAATCTTATTTTTCAAGAGGTGTTTTTGCTAAAATTATGCAATATATAATCTCTAGTCTATATTTAGGAATCTACAGAATTCTTCTTTCAGGACACCCTGATGAAAGGTAAGAAAAAATCAACTTAATCAATTTCCTACCATTTCCGACGAGTAGCTCGGCAGAGCTTATGGTAGATCCATTGACGTTCATGGCTCTAGCTGTGTAGAGTCCAGTGTCCTCTTTCTTGGTTTTGGGGAATTCCAGGACGTGGACGTTCCCCTCTGAGAGAACTCGACACATGTCTGTGCTCTTTAGTGGTCGGTTGTTCTTCAGCCATAACACCTTGGGTTGTGGTATACCGACAACAACACACTCCAGTCTGGCCGTAGAGTTCTCTACAATAAATATACCATATGATGAACGATTTGCAAAAAGTTGTAGATCATGGGTTATTCTTCATGTTCTTCATGCTTTATGAAATATGCTTGAAACAAATCTATTGAATACAACATTCCATTTGCTCTGATATATATTTACTCATATAACAACTTTCTGGGGCCTTTGTCATGTTTGAATAGATCTCATGATATTTTACCTGATACAACTGTTTTCTTAAGTTTTTTCCTGAAGATTGGTCTAGTTGTTCCATCTTCAAATTCTGGTTGTATATCATGACTGGTGTCTATGATCTTGAAATCTGGGTTTACAAATTATTAATACATATTATACAAACTGGACTTCTTAAAAAACGTTAATATACACTGTGTATCATAAATTTTCCTTAGCATCATATGTCTTATACATAAAAATTGTATTAAGTTTTCAATTTTTGTTTTTTTTTTTACAGCTTGAGAAAAAGTTCAACTGCTAGTAGTTCTTTTTTCTTTATGTCAATTAGCTTTAATTGGTAGATAATCTGTGACACTCACCGTCAGAGCTAGCCAGTGAGACATTGTCTGCAGTCTCCGCCCTTTTCACAGCTGAAGATTTGACTTTGGGGGTCTTGGTTGCGATTTTTCTGTGTTCTGGCATCTTGGAAGGTTTTTCTACATTAACTCCTACAGTACAGAAAGCTTTCATTTAGATGCTTAGAGAGATACAAAAAAACCCAGCAGATTTATTCCTCCGAAACATCAGTAAGACATCATTCTTATAATCAAAATGAAGCAACATAAAAAAAATCATTCTCCACAGATTGACTGACAAAGTATACATGTAGGTCTACTTCCAACAATATGCTAATGAAATATGATTTGATAAATTGTTTGAAAGGACATGAAATACTCTTGATTCAATTTTGTATACCTTAATGTCTGGAATATGTTTCAATTTACATACTGCTCATTATAAATGTGTTATAAAAACAATATTAATGGTAAACTTCATCATTTACATGTCATTACACAAACATCCTGAATATTTGATAATCCTGATCACAGACTGAGGCAGCACCTCTACACTCAGACAAGCCTGTTGTTCTAAATCTGGATTATAAAACATTCCATAGAACATACACACTTCACTGAAGAATTCCTGAAACCAAAATAAACACTGTGTGCTGTATCACATTCCTACAGATTTGTCTAGATGAATAATACTCCAGTAACACTCGGCCACAGTCTGATCAGTAGCTATGAGAGTCCTGCAGAGTGTTTTGACATTGATATGACCTCTGTAGACAATTTGTTATCACCGCCCAACAGCTTCTGTAGCGAACACAGATCACAGATAACAGGTCTGAGCCTCAATACACATCCTCTACAGCCAAAGGTGTAATCAAAATACTCTAAATACAGGGGCACTTTAATTTCTGTTCAATCAGACAAATTGCAGCACACCCTCAGTAGAGAAGGTTCTAATTAAGCACTGTCAGTCTGAAGAGCATGCAGGAAAGAATGCAGCTCAGCAGGTGTACAATTAACTCACAATTCTCTAACCAGTACAAACCAAAACCTGCCTGTTCTATAGGAATACAGTTTATATGGTAAAACCTGCCTAAAAAGTCGTGGCCATTTTACAAAAGAACTTATGGTTAAGAACAAAAACTTCAGTTGATTGTAAAATTTTGCAACAGTAATGATTTTGTTTAAAATTGCTAGTGTGAAAGTATATCTTCCTACATACCTTCCTACATACCTTTTAAAAAGATTCAAACCATTTTCTATACAAAATAAATTAGAAAGTTATTAGCAGAATTAAATTTGGGTATTAGTTGTTAGTTCTTTTGTAAAACAGGCCCCGGGCCTATAGTAAAGGAAAACAGTTTATATGATAAAACCTGCCCAAGAGCCTCTTGGCTTATCAAGTTCTCTTGGAATACACTAGAAAATTTTCTAGGGAGCAGTCATTATTTGGATTGCATCAGAGGAGAATTAATTACTCTGCTTGTGGTGGTTAGGTAAGAACATTACAAACAGATGTGTGAGATAAAAATCCTTCATTCTACCTAGCCTGGCTGTATCTCCCCAATACACATTCAAACAGTACAGCATTACAAGGGTGTGTCAACTATACTGGAAAACATGCAATGCTGTTGGAAAACTATATATAGTATACTATTTTTAAGTGTGGAAGCTTTATCACTTCAAATGCATACATTCCAAAGAGTCAAATACATGTATAAGAGTCCCACTGAGGTTTTCATTGTAAAATTCTTTGCAAAAAATAGGGAAATAACTTAGCATATGAACACTTTTGAAGAAAATATTTCCACAAAATTTATCAAAATTAAGAAATTGCAAGTAAAAATTTAACTACATCATTTTAGAATGAATTTTTCAACTGATAGGTAAAAGGATATGTCATTATAGTGTTTCTGTGATGTTATGATTATCTGAAGATCTTTAAGACGGGGTCATAAAAAGTGTGATAAAACAAATAAACACATACTAGACATAAGTGCTTGAAATTTTAAACACGGGAATTTGAGAATCTTACAAAAAATTTTATTTTGGTTGTTGTTTTCTGTATAATTCAATAATATCTGTTACATTCTATAATACTCAATAAAATCAGGAAATTTTCATAAATTTTTACCTTATGAGATGCCCCCTCTGGAAACATACAGTAGACTTCTGGGCTTCATGCATATATTTGAATAAAATTTTTCTCAGCACATAGTAAAATTTGAGCAAAAAATCTACATAGTATTTTCATAATTTGTTTTGAAGTGAGAAAAAAGCATTTTCCATAGAATCCCTATGAGACCATTTTTTGAGATGATCATTAAAAGTACTTGAGATAAATTTTCCTGAAACTTTGATCAACAATAGATGCATCTGTACATTTATGGTTGGTCTGATTTCTTCATAATATTTATTGTTTACATTGTAAAGTCAACAATCAATTCACAAGAGCAATTTGCAAAATACAATGCAATGTCACCAAAATCTAATCTATTTGTAGCAAAATCCCTTTTTCCTAAATATATCATTTATTTTGAAAACCATAATAGCTTTAGCTTCTTGCTAGTTCTATTAAATAAGAAAAATATTAACAACGACAGAAAAAGCTCAAGACAAAATATCATAAGGGGAGTCAAAAATTATCAAACCAATAAGTAGATGCCAAAATATTCTTTATCATGTATTTTGCCTGGTGATGCATGTAAAAGTCTGGATATAACCTTTTGATTTTATAAACAACTGGCATTGATTCAGATCTGATTAAGTCTGATCAGAATGTTAAGAATTCCTCAGTTTTAACTGAATGACGTCAATATATTCTTCGTCTATATGCTTTCTCCTGCTCCGCTCACTAAAACCTTCGAATATGTTTTAATTTTATCTTATGCAGGCATGTTAAGGTACTCCCAAAACAATTACATAATTATAACATACAATCATTCAGGGTTCAATGGAGGTCATAAGAGATTAGTTAGATTGCCATATGTCAGTTTTCAATTTTATTACTTTAGACATGCAAAATAGAAACACAATTTTAGATAATCAGTTTGTTTTACCACCTAGGAGAATATAAAAAGAAACCTAGCCTACATGCTTGTTATTGTCCTGATACAAGTTCAGTTTCTATAAGATGCTTCTTTATGTCCTGAGGTATACCCTGGTATTTTGAGGTAAACAAAACAACATGTAGTTATTTGGGGTTTGTCAGTCCCTCAAACAGCTAGCTCGCAGAGGAACGTGTATAATTTTGTGTGTATGATCTCCTGTCTATGATTTACTGTGAAGTCTCTAGAACAGAGAGGAGATGGATTCTTACATTCTATTACTGTAACTTTCTATGATAGGTTACCTGCATTTCTGAGAAGTAAACAGAGTCAGACTTCTAGGAAAATTAGCACAATCATCTCACCAGTATAAATATCATGTGACGTAATGAAAAGGGAGAGATGTGATTCTTTGACAGATATTGCGTCTATGGGTATCATTTGCTTGGTATCTTTGATAACTTATGGATAAAAAAAATCTCTCAAAATTTTAAGATAAAACTAAAGGTTTGGCAAGCTTTATAAAGAGAGAAATGTACAAAATCTGTGTCTGATGCCTTTCTTTCCCATCCATCCTATCAGTGAATTATCTTTCTGTGGGTGTAGAGATAGGGGGATATATTTTAGAAGTAGAAGTTTTATATCTATTTGATGGGATCTTACTGAGAATTATACAGCAGCCATCAGCTGTCAGGGAGTTATTGATAAGTTCTTACAGCCTTATGTTTCTACAGATAAGGTTCTAGACACAGTGCTCTCTGCCAAGCATAACATCCACAAGATAGAGGTTCCGAAATTCTGCAATAACCAGACATATCATACTAAAAATCCTTTCTTCTAACTGTAAAGGGGGTAAATTGGGGATTTTTTTTTTAAATAAAAGGAACCTATTTAACATTGTACTGAGGGAAAAATATCTTTCAAACTTTCCTTCCAGAAAAATACATATAGACTGTGTTGATAGACATTGGAACAAATCAAAGTAAACCTTAACCACAGCCAACATAATAAACCAGGCCCTGAACTCTTAAAATTTGAAAGAGGCTAACAAAGAGAAATATCATTTAGCAACTATTCTCAATTTTTAACTTAAATATTGAAAACTTATAAAATGAGTTTTTTTGAAATAACATGTATAAAAGGAAAATGCCCCCCCCCCCACCTCCTTCATTTCTGTAAACCTTACATTTTTTCATTTACATGTAGAAGAAATATTTGTGAGACAGCACAATAACAACCACTGCTCGTTGGTTGAGTGACCTGAATTCTACTCACTGGTTACTAATCTATACCAGCAGTTACTGCCTGTCCATCACTCTCCAATCACCAAACATTATCACCTCACACTACAGGAGAGTTTATTTACCCTTAGCCAACGAGAACTATTCAGCACTAAATGTCAGAATTTTTTTATGTAAAAGGCTAGATGTAAATAAAAAATAAATAATGCCTCCGTTCACAGCTTCATTTTGGCCAGCTTCGTTTTGCCAGTAGTTTGTCCAACAAACTACTGGCAACAAGTCACCTTCATTTTATAACATATCTTATTGTTTACAATTTACATTTAAATTACCTATTAATTAACACCTCTACCTAGATTCATTTTTTACAATTCACAATTAAAGCAGCTCAATTAATTAATTAACACACTTACCTAGTTTCTCCTGAGCCTCCTGTATGTCTCTCACAAGTGTTTGTTTTGAGAACGGAGAACTTGTTTCCAATGTCAAAAATGAAGCTGGAGATTCCTCGTCTTCTAGCGACGCATCCCACAATGCCAGACTCCTCCCCGAGTCATCCTCGCACAGAGCAACGGTCCGCAACTAAAAAACAATTACACAAATAAACCACCAAAACCAATGTAGAGTTCAGTAACTGCCAATGGATAAGCAGTAAGCCAAAAGCCTAGATAGAAATTACAGGGGGATGCTAGCATAAGCCACTTGCTGGGATTCTGGAGGAAGATTACATCAGTGATAAGACTGTCTACCTGTGAACACACGCTCAGGAATCTGCTATCCTCCTCAGCATTGCTACCAGCGGATTTTGGCAGAAGCCGGCCAATGTTTCTGACTCACAAGAGTAGATACTTTACATCCCTGTTTATTTATAGACAACCCTGATAACACTTCTGTTAGCTTTAACAAGGTTCTGCTGTTTAGAAGGCATACGACATTCTTCTTTAACTTCTAGCAATCAAGAATTCTACTTAAGTTATTTATATATCCTAATCTACATATATACATCTTCAAACTTACAGGCAACAAATGAATCAAATCTCGAACTTTTCAATCAAACAAATAAATTTTTATCAAAGTGGAATAATTTTAAAAATTACTGTTAAAACTCAGAGAGTAGCTGTTCACATGTTTTTAATGCCAGAGCTCAATATCACTTGTCTTTATGATTAATCATGGATTTAAAAAATATTTTTATTGATATAAACTTTTAAAAAAATCTTTCAGGGGCAATAACTTTGTTAAGGGGTAAATGAATCCTTTTATAACAAGAGACCCAGGGGCCACACTGCTCACCTGAGCAATTGGCTAGGAAAAAGCACATATCAGATCAGAACTGAAATTTTAATGAGGTTGGGGGAGGAGGGGGTCATGATTTGAACAAACTTGAATCTACAATACCTGAGGATGATTCCACATGAGTTTCATCTTTCCTGTCTCAATGGTTCTTGAGAAGAAGATTTTTAAAGATTTTTCCTATATATTCCTTTGTAAAACTTCGATCGGCCATTTTGGCCCCACCCTGCCCCCTGGGATCATGATTTGAACAAACTTAAATCAACACTACCTGAGAATAATTTCACATGAGTTTCATCTTTCCTGTCTCAATGGTTCTTGAGAAGAAGATTTTTAAAGATTTTTCCTATATATTCCTATGTAAAACTTCGATCAGCCATTTTGGCCCCACCCTAACCCCGGGGGTCATGATTTGAACAAATTTGAATCTACACTACATGAGGATGATTCCACATGAATTTCATCTTTCCTGACCCAGTGGTTCTTGAGAAGAAGAATTTTAAAAAAATTTCCAATATATTCCTATGTAAAACTTTGATCGGCCATTTTGGCCCACCCTAGCCCCAGGGGTCATGATTTGAACAAACTTGAATCTATAGTACCTGAGGATGATTCCACATGAGTTTCATCTTTCCTGGCCCAGTGGTTCTTGAGAAGAAGATTTTTTAAAAATGCCATTAATTTTCCTATAATTCATAATTATCTCCCCTTGGAAAAGGGCGTGGCCCTTCATTTGAACAAACTTGAATCCCCTTTACCCAAGGATACTTTGTAGCAAGTTTGGTTGAAATTGGCACAGTGGTTCTTGAGAAGGATGAATATGTGAAAAGTTTACAACGACAACAACAACAACGACAGACAACGGATAAATTTTGATCAGAATAACTCACTTGAGCCTTCGGCTCAGGTGAGCTAATCAATAAATTGTACATCAAATAGTCTCCTTTATTAGTTAAGACATTGGTGAATATTTGTATCTCTTTGGTTTATGGTTTGAGAGAAGTAATGATAGCAATGCATGTCCAAGGGGTCATAAATTTGTAAATTTCTCAGCGATCAGAATTTGAGGTCAAGAAATGAAAATTTTAGATAGTTTTTATTATAACTAGGGCTAATTGTAACGGGGACCGTTACAGATGTTCCCCAAACGCTCCCCAACTCCCTTTTGGTGCCACATTTCTTTCAGCTCTATTAGATAAGACATACTTTGTGCAATTTAGACTTAAACAACGTTTTCCCAGAAGACTACAAAATATATTTAAATTTAAGCATGACATGCGAGTTCATGTGAATGCATGTGGGTAATGATCATATCATCTTTTCTACACTATGTAAATATATTCAAAGAGACTTAATATCAAAGCATTTAATCCAGAAGTATTAAAAAATACACTTATTCAAGCATATTTTAATTTTACTCATTTCACGTGCACACACGGTCAAGCATGTGCATGATGACCATACCTTCTTGTAGGGGACCATTATGTCTATCAATATTCTAAATACCATCCTATTTCTTTGAAAACCAAGGAAGTTATAACCATTTAAAGTTTAAGCCAATCAGATTTCAGCGCACGTGCATGCGTGTGATTTAATGACAATTGTTATATATCATATTGTAGGACATCCTATTGTATGCTTATGTTTTAAATTTCAAAGCATTTCGTCTAAAAACGGAAAAGATATTGAGATTTTTGTTTCAGCCAATCAGAGTGAAGAACACGTGCACGCACGTGCATGACGACCATACCATCTTGTTGGAGTTTATTATGTCTGTCTATGTTCTAAATCCCATCCTGTTTGGTTGAAAAACAAGGGAGTTACAGCCATTTAAAGTTTAAGCCAATCAGATTGCAGCGCACGTGCATGCGCATGTTTTTACGACAACTGTTATATATCATATTGTAGGTAATCCTAATACATGACTATGTTTAAAATTTCAAAGCATTTCGTCAAAAATTAAAAAAGATATTGCGATTTTTGTTTCAGCCAATCACAGCAAAGCACACGTGCACGCACGTGCATGCATGTGCATGACAATTACACCACCTTGTAGGAGTCCATTATGTCTGTCTATGTTCTAAATCCCATACTGTTTGGTTGAAAAACAAAGGAGTTATAGCCATTTAAAGTTTAAGCCAATCAGATTGCAGTGCACGTGCATGCGCGTGTTTACATGACAATTGTTATATATCATATTGTAGTGCATCCTAAAGTATGCCTATGTTTTAAATTTCATAGCATTTTGTCAAAAAACAGAAAAGATATTGAGCTTTTTGTTTCAGCCAATCAGAGCGAAGCGCACGTGCATGCGCGTGAGTTCGTGCTAATTTGACAGTGTCACATTATCTACAGTATTAATATATCTTTATATGATGAGTTTCAAATCATTTCATAAAAAAATGTAAAAGTAATAGCTATATTAAGTATATCAGTCAATTCACTCATTTCACGCGCACGCACGTGCATGCGTGTGCGCGCAAAATGACCTTCGTTCCGCACACCTACACTACACACCTATTAACCCTAAAAAGGTTTTAGCTCAGTTGGGTGAACAGTTTCTGAGAACACTCGCGGACAAAAAAAGTACCGGAGAAGAAATAAGAAAAAAAACTAGAGCAAAGCTCGTTGCAAAGCAACGAGTAGGTCTTCCGTCCTGTTTGACCGGAAGTTTATGCTACTTCCGGTGTGACCGGAAGTGTTGACGACCGACAGAAAATTAATTTTTATGCTCCCAGTGACAGATGTTACCCAAAAATTTTTCAAGAACGGTAAAAATACGCGTTTTTCGACTACTTCCGGTTTGGCCGGAAATGACGTCGACGGACATATTTTGACGACTGCATTAGATTAAGCTTGACATTTTGAACAACTTTGCTTCATGGACGTATTACAAATTCTCAATACTTTTTGAGTAGTGTTGGCAAATCGGACGATTTTTAGTAACCGGTTACTCGCTCAATCTTCCGATCGAGTACCCGGTTACTCGGATGATTTATTCATATGTATCATTTATCTCATCTTTTACTCATCGGTTCTAATAAAACACAAAGGTATTGTGAATTAACTTTATTTATAAACTTAAAAAGAACACGCACGCAATATCTTGAATTTTAAATATAATTATAATCAAAAAATTAATTGAATCAGAAGAAAAATAAATATTCAATGTTTCACGCTATTTTACAATGGCGTTCATCAGTTTAACTTTTCAACCCCCGATCAAGGAGAATAATTATTTAGAAATTTGAAGTCACGATAACTCCAATTCACATTAATTACATTTTACAGGTATAGAATCAGCTGTTCTTTTAAAATACTTCCGAGCTATACATGTCTTTGGCGGCATCTTTTTAAATTATTTAATGAGGTAATTATAACTTGGGTCTTCAAAACTTGTATAACCTGCTGGCAATCCAATTAAGCTATCAATTAAGTGTGAAAACCAAACAATCGTATTAGTGAAGCCATAGATCATTAAGTCTAACGGTAAAGAAAATTAGAGAAATGTTTATTTGTACCCTTATAAACAAATTAACATTTTAGTTTTTAGTTATTTACCATATAAGATGCATTTTATCCGAGTAACCGAATAGCAGTTTTACTAACCGATACTCGCATCGTTCGACGGTTAACCGGTTAACCGGGTACTCGTTGCCAACACTATTTTTGAGATATAAAGTAAAAACTTTCGGCCTCTGTAGGCCCCTTATTTTAGGGGCCAGCCCTTTTTTCGAGATATCATTTGGAAGAATTTAAAATTCTACACTTCTTTTGTTCTATATGTTTTAACGAATTCTAGTCAACTCGGCACCTGGTATACTCGGCATCTGGTGAACTCGGCACCAAGCAAAGTGAATTCGGCACCAGGTATATTCGGCACCTAGTAAACTCGGCACCTGGTAAATTCGGCATCTAGTGAATTCGGCACCTATATTATACGACTAACTTTTCACCTATTTTTTTTTTTTATCTTTTCATTGCCTATGTTTTTAATTTTTCTAATGTAAGGAGTGAATTAATTGACGTTTTGCAATTGATACACACTATAGATTTTTAAAAAAATCTTTTTCAAGATATAAAGTTTCAAAAAATTAAAATAATACAGCAGCGAAACATTCACCATAGAAGTAAACAAGGAAAAGAATACACGGCACGAATCTAGAAAAAATGTGATAGTAAGGAAATATTTTTAATATCATCGATGTTCATAACTGTTTTCTCTTAAAATGATAGTGAATGATAAAATAGAAATTTTCTTATATCAAATTTTTGGCAAATTATACACT